GGGGGGGGGGGGGGGTTCAAAAAAGTTTTCTAGGAAATTACCCCTTTGTTTCGGTACCACGCTGCCTCTCCGTTAATTATAAGGATTTTGCAAAGCGAGATATGTCAATTCTAGTGATGTGCATTAATTTGGTTCGTTTTTTGATTTTATTTTCTTTTGTGGTCTAAATTTGGCCTTATGTATTAAGAGAAATGTTATTGAAATTGTTTATTTTCTTAACAAAGTCAAATTTTGAACCTGACAGAATGTTTATGCAAAAAAATGAACTGTTAAAATGTATAGTTTATAGATCAGTTTTCCATTTTTTATGATAAAAATAAAAAGTTTGCTTAGCTCAAACTTTACTGGAACGCTGTTCCAAAGTCTTGGAAGTTTTTCAAAACAATTTACCCACTAGATACGTTACAACGAAATGTCTAGAATCACATAATGTAAATAATTCAATGTTTGAATGTGTTCTTAGATCTAGTGAAAGATCAGATTAGGATAGAGTCTTCACAGATCAAGGAGATGATGTCCAAAAAGGTGAGCACTGTCTGAAAGANCGATGATGTTATTTTGTAAAATTTAACTTACTTTGAACAATTCATTTTATTAACAATACTAACCTAGCCACGCGTTAAATTATTTTTTTTGAAAAATTACCGTTCTTTTAAGGTGTTGTGAGCGTAATTCCCATGCCAAAAGGACGATTCACAACATTGTCCTCAAAAGCTTTGTCTGATAAGTTTAAATTAGATATCAATGTTAATAAAAAAGTTTCAAGGGGTAGCGTTGTGATTCGGGCATTCTTAGCTTTCAGGGTCACTTGAAATTACGTTTACAGTCCATTTAAGCGTCAACCTATCATCAGCACCAAGATATAATCCTGGCAATATTAATTTAGAATAAAGAGTACTTGGAGCTGTTAAGTCTCTGCAACTCAGTGATTAAGAGCAAGGACCTGGAGCAGTACGTCTGGATGTTCAGGAAGCTTGACCAGCTGGACCTGGATGAGAACCTGAAGGAGTTGAGAGTTCAAGTTCCGGAATTATCTCAAGAAACCGGATATAAAATCATCTGCCCTTTATATTTCTTCGACTTTTCAAATGACAAAAGGAAACTGAAATAAGAAAAGAGAATAATAATAAACTATTTAAAACAGTAAAATGATNTTGAGTAGATAAACAAAAAACCCCTATGTAAGCTATATATATATCTATAAAAGCTAATTATTGTATCCCTTTGCGTTTAACTAACCTAGAAAAATTATCTGCAGCCAGCCTCGATTGGAACATATTATAGAGACTCACCACTAAATAACTGGATGCTGTCCAAATTAAACTGATTTCAAGTTTTTACATCAGAGGGAATTCTGCTGATGATAGTGAGCTTACATCTTCATTCACTGCAGGTGGTAAGGATCAACCCTACACTACCACAAAAGGACCTGAAGGAAACCACTCCCCCACTTATAAAGCTAGGCATGGAGAAAACTTCTCTCCCACTGAAGATAAAATTGAATCAAACCAATTTCTAGCTGGGAAGAAAATTAAATTATACCAACTCGAAACGACATCTGTATCAAACCAAACCATAGATAGACCCGAAACAAACCTTCAGCATATTAAAACCTACCCAGCTGTAGATGGAACTGAAGTTAATCTACCCTGTCACAATATTAGATTTAGAGCCGACCAATTCCCAGGAGGAAATCAACCTGAAGAGAATTTATCATATTACAAAACAAAACACGAGATAACCCTATCACATATTATAGATAGACAAGGAGCAAATCAAACTAGCTCTGGAGAAAATCAATCTCTACTTGGAGCAAGGGCTGCAAGACGTGGTGGAACCTCTAACGGAACTAGAGCTGGAGTAAACCAACTCAGGGTCGAAGAAAGACCTGGTTTAAGTGACTTTTCTCCAGCTGGAGATGGATCAACTGTTAGACATAAATCTGAAGCAAGGCCATCCTATACCGAACCCAGACATGGCGCAAACAAATCCCCAACTATAGTTGATCCTGGAGCAAACCACTCTATTAGCAAAACGAAATTAGAATCGAACCTATGCTATAACAACACTGTAACTGAAGCCAAGGAACCTCTTGCTGTACCAGGATACAGAACAAACCCTGCTACCACATATAATGCTCACGTTGAAGAGAAGAGACTTTCACTTGGTTCTTCCAGATTAACAAAAAAGAATCAGAGGGTTTTATTACAAGGATTGGGATTAAACTTAAAGAGTTCTAGTGATCAATCCTACTCAGAGGTATTAATTTTAATTTTGATTTTGATTTAGTTCTTTTTAGCTCTTTTTAGTTCTTTTTAGTTCTTTTTTGTTCTTTTTTGTTCTTTTTTGTTCTTTTTTGTTCTTTTTAGTTCTTTTTAGTTCTTTTTTGTTCTTTTTTGTTCTTTTTTGTTCTTTTTTGTACAACATACTGTTCTTGAGTGCTTATGATCCATTTAACTTTCATGCGGATCTGGATCCAATTCATGAAGTCAGATTTACTGATTTTCTGAACAAAAGACGAATTTTTAAATTACTTTTCTTCTTTTTTGTTATTTCATTTAAACTTTATGGCGCATTTAGACATAATGAAATTTTTAATAAACTCCGTTTCTGGTTAAGATTTAGGTTATGAGATCAAAATAATTTCGTTTTGCGTTTTTGATTGATATTTTGTGGATCCAGGAAGCCGAAATGTTGGTACATCATGGTTTTTCTTATTGACGGCATTTAATGGTCTTAGCTTTAGTCAAGTAAATTTCTTAAATCAAACATTTTGGCTTTCATAAATATTTAAATCACTGACTGGACCACCTTTACTAACGATTTTTTTCAATGGTAACCTTACAACCGTCTAACATTTTTAGCTTGTTTGTTTATTTCCAATGAACTTTTAAATGGCTGAACCGGCCAAATTCAGATTTGTTTTGGTAACTTGGCGAGACTACAACTACTAAAAAATTTGCCTCTAAATAATTTGATTTGTCAAAAACTTTGAAAATCCGCCAATAAAAGCAAAAATTTCGCAAAATTTTAGATAAATAGTTAATTGATAATATTCACACATAGAAAATGGTTACCTCTAAAGAAATTTTGAGAGCTAAATATAGAGTTACAAAGAGTGACGCGAAGCGCTCTAGGGAGTCTTGTAGAAGAAAAATTGATAAAAATGCCTCTCTTATTCTACTATTGAAAACAGGCGCCCGTGGCTTTTTAATTGAAAAATTCTAGATCAACAAGTCATGGATGTAAGAAAATTATTGAAAATCCAACGTTGTTTTACTAATGTGAATCATTGATGGAACAAAAAAAATACTAAAACACTTTCAGTTATGTAAATCAAATACTTAATTTTTTATTTAGAGTGAAGTTGAGCAGTCCATGGACAGTCTGCCCCCGGGATACAAGTACTCAGTGGAGGTTATTGGTGGCAGGGTTGGGCATTTTTATGTAAAACTGAACAAAAGCAAGTTCAGGTAAAGAAGGGGGGGGGGGGGCACAAAACATATTACTCTCCGAAAAATTTAAACAGTATTTAATCATAACTTAGAAATGTCGTAAAATGATGATTTTTTGCATGTGAACTAAAAATTGTGTAAATTGTAGCTGCAAAATTCAGTTTTATAAACATCCGAGCTTTTAATAGAAAATGTTACTTTTTTGCATTTTTGCAATCTTGACACCATAAGAAATGAACTTGAATTTGCTTTTAAATCCTTTCAAACATGTAATCCCTGAACAGCTTTGCGCTAAAGAGCCTAAAATCCCCCCGGCCCCCCGCATTTTAGAAAATATTTACGATTCTTAAATTTTTCAATTTTTGGCATTATTCAAAACAAAAGTAGCATGCGATACATAACTACAGGTAACTTGGGACGAGGAAAGGAATTCATTAAACATAGACTGGATCGTTCTAATCGTCTCGCTAGTATCATGATGTTTCATTATGGGTCATCTTGCCACAAATTTTGCAGGTCATCCTACCATATCTAGATCATAGATAACTAGACCAAAGGATTATAATTCTAGTGAATAAATTCCACTTAAGAACTCTCGTCGCGCTGCTGAATAGATGGAAGTTATCGGATCAACATAACATAGTTTGACATGCTGTTCGTCTTTTATAAGTATTTCGACCAGAGGGATCCAATTTAGTTGTCAAAACTAGTTTAAAAGAACTTACAGGGTGGCCAAAATGTACGGATTTTTTTGTAACCCACGAATTGTACGGATTTTTATCCTGGAAATACACCGTTTTTTTAATTTTCACTCATTTCAGCAAATTTTTCATAAATTTCGAAAAAAATTCTTGTCAAAATGACTTATTTTCTGCATTCTAAATAATATTAGATTGATTAATGTTTCAATTGACAATCAAAATTCATTCATAAGTTTTGAGTTATGTCCCAGAAGTGTTCATTTGAGAATATGTTCCGGAAGTGTTCATGTCTATCTATCTGTCTAGCTATCTGTATATCCATTTTTATATCTATCTGCATGTCAGTTTATCTATCTGTTTATATATCCTATCTGTCCTCTCTGTTTATCTATATGTCTATGTGTCTATCTGTTTATCTATCTATCTATCTGTCTGTCTGTTTATTTATCTATCTGTCTCTTTATCAGATCTGAGAACATACTCTCAGGTTTCTTCCGTTTATCTGTAAATCTTTTCATTTTCATTTTTAGTTTAATATTAACTTTCTTTTAATTGAGTGTGCAACCCCTGTACTACCTCCCACCACGCTAATTTTAATTATATTAGATCCTAAATCTACACTCCACTCTTTCTAATTATAACTTTGTTTGTTAAATGGGCTAATTCACACCGATCTAAACAGTTTTAAAAATTAGAATCAACCCTCTTTACTTCTCTAGTTCTTTAGTTCTTTAGTTCTCTAGTTCTCTGGTTCTCTACTTCTCTACTTCTCTAGTTCTCTGGTTCTCTAATTCTCTAATTCTCTATTATCTAGTTCTCTAGTTCTCTAGTTCTCTAGTTCTCTAGTTCTCTAGTTCTCTAGTTCTCTAGTTCTCTAGTTCTCTAGTTCTCTAGTTCTCTAGTTCTCTAGTTCTCTAGTTCTCTAGTTCTCTAGTTCTCTAGTTCTCTAGTTCTCTAGTTCTCTAGTTCTCTAGTTCTCTAGTTCTCTAGTTCTCTAGTTCTCTAGTTCTCTAGTTCTCTAGTTCTCTAGTTCTCTAGTTCTCTAGTTCTCTAGTTCTCTAGTTCTCTAGTTCTCTAGTTCTCTAGTTCTCTAGTTCTCTAGTTCTCTAGTTCTCTAGTTCTCTAGTTCTCTAGTTCTCTAGTTCTCTAGTTCTCTAGTTCTCTAGTTCTCTAGTTCTCTAGTTCTCTAGTTCTCTAGTTCTCTAGTTCTCTAGTTCTCTAGTTCTCTAGTTCTCTAGTTCTCTAGTTCTCTAGTTCTCTAGTTCTCTAGTTCTCTAGTTCTCTAGTTCTCTAGTTCTCTAGTTCTCTAGTTCTCTAGTTCTCTAGTTCTCTAGTTCTCTAGTTCTCTAGTTCTCTAGTTCTCTAGTTCTCTAGTTCTCTAGTTCTCTAGTTCTCTAGTTCTCTAGTTCTCTAGTTCTCTAGTTCTCTAGTTCTCTAGTTNTGAAAAACTACTGCGTCTGTCCCTTCCCTTTATGGGGGATATAGGAGAGGCGACTTCATGATTAGTGGAACAAACGTAGTAGTTTTTCAGTATCCCTTTGGTTAAAATCTAGTTCTCTCAAGTTCACAGGAGAGAATTAATGGCTATTACTATCTTAAAGTATTCTTCTAAAGGGTCTATTTTAGATACATACAAAATACAAATCAAATTCAAACTACTTCCGTCTCAAGTTTCCACATTTTCCCCCTTTTTTCCACACTTAAAGAATGATTTGAAAGAAAAAATATTATTACTGTATATATGTATAAAATGCACATTAGATAATTTTTTGTTTTACTGTTTGTTCTNTGGCATGTTTTAATTTTTTTTAAACGGAATAGTTTTGGATTGGAGAGAAAATGGTGTTTCTTTACAGTTTTGCCCCATGGATGCACATCCAGGAAGCCAAAATGTTGCTGTGCTTGCCAGCCAGATCGCTTCACGTACGAGGGTTCTAGAGCGCCGGGAAACCCGACGGTCACACTTTGCAATGTCTCTTAACTAAACCTTCACAAACCTACAATTAATATCATAACTAAGTTTATTAATATTTAGTTGTGAGCTTGAAGGAGTATCTGATTCTAAGGAAATTAATGCGGATTTCAAGAAAATTCTCGCAGCAAACTCCTGCATTAGGGTTCAGGTGAAATTACTTTTGGATTTTTTTTAGAAGACTCAAATTTCTTGTGGGGCTTAAATATGAAAATTGAATAACCATGTCAATTCATTTTATGCTGCATTTTTTGAAAGGTTAGTAACAAATTAAAAGTTGATCAGGCAAATCTATTTATTTTAGCGGTATTATTCTTTGGAAACTAAGTGTGCAAACACAACTTAGCATCGTCGTATGAAGCTAAACTGTGGGGGGGGGGGGGGGAATACAATACATTTTGTTGATTTCACATGCAAAAAAATTATCTTCCTAAGACAATATAAGTTATGTTTGCAAACTGTTATAATTTCCCGGAGAGAAATAAGTTTTGAACCCCCCCCAATACATCTAGATTTATACTGTACCAAATGCCGTACTCCAACAAGTTGTTTTTAAGTCTGTATCAATCCAGATACAAGCCGCTCTCGAACTCAATGTTCTACAATAATACCTTAGTCTGTATCAATCTAGATACAACACTCTGTATTCTCAGTATGTATCATAAAGATACAATTCGCTCTAGTCTTCAATGTTCTACAATAATACCTTAGTCTGTATCAATTCAGATACAACACTCTGTATTCTCAGTATGTATCATAAAGATACAATTCGCTCTAGTCTTCAATGTTCTACAATAATACCTTAGTCTGTATCAATTCAGATACAACACTCTGTATTCTCAGTATGTATCATAAAGATACAATTCGCTCTAGTCTTCAATGTTCTACAATCATACCTTAGTCTGTATCAATCCAGACACAACACTCTGTATTTTCAGTATGTATCATAAAGATACAACTCGCTCTATTAGAATTCAATGTTCTACAATAATACTTTAGTCTGTATCAATCCAGATACAACACTCTCCCTGTATTCTCAGTATGTCTCGTTCAGATACAACTTGCTCTTGAACTCAATGTTCTACAATAATACCTTAGTCTGTATCAATCCAGATACAACACACTCTTGTTGACAGATAACAGCAACAAACCAGATAAACTTGGATTAAAAGGCCCGTCGGAACTCCGGTGAGGGAATTATATTCTGTACGGATAATTCCTTTCCATTCGGCCACAAATACACACAACAGAGTAACCCTGCCTCAAGAAAATCGATAACAAAAGCTTTATTTCCTAAAAAATAACATAAATTATAGGTCATGGTTACTTGTACAATGTTATAATGAACATCAATAATAGAAAAAAAAATCTTACGATTTATTTAGGTATGATAGGGGGAGACTTATTGTTGATCAGTATTGAAATACGTTTTTTTAAACTTCTGAAAAAAATTACAGTTGAATATTTAACGAAATTCACTAATGCTTCATATGAAAATATTCTTGCTTAACTTTGATGATTTCACAATAAACGAACATGTTTTAAGCCCCGTGGGACGGAGTACAAAGAGAATGCGGGCTGAAAATTTGGTTTGGCTTTCTCCGAGAGGAGATTTTAAGTTGAAGACGACATTACCCGGAGGTCTTAAAGTTAATGGTTAACAACTCTGTATTCTTAGTATGTATTGTACAGATACAACTCGCTCTTGGACTCTATGCTCTCCATAGGAGAAATAATATGTGTCTAAACATAATAAAACAATGTTCATGTCCAACTAATCTATATTTAAATTAATGATCGGTTTTATAGTACATGTTAATAATATGGACTTATAAGTTCGTTCACAAATTAATGAACGTAGTTAGGGTACAGAAAACGTGTTATGAACATAGATTTATACACAATATAAACGATTAATGATCATGTACGAGTTTTATTACATTACGATACTGAAACATACCTTAAAGTTCATTGAGGAAAATTAAAATTAGAAGTGTGATTTTGCTCTAGCAGAACTTTTGTTTTTTGAATATTGGGATAATCCATTGATTTTGATCTCATTCAGACCTACAGAATAATTTAATTCCTCTTTGGTTTTCCAAATCTATGGAATAACGTTAATTATGGAATCAAGTATTTCTTCTCTAATTTAAAAGTTCTTTTTGGATATCAAGATCAACCATTCAAGCTAAGCGATACTTCACGCAAACGTTACCCCTGCAGGGTATGACCAATATTCAAATCAATCCGTGGGCACTTCTGAATTTTAGACAATCTGCTGGATCTCTTGGATATCTGTAATTTCTCTGTTCTCTTATTGGTTGGTTTGACGCAAAATTCCCAGCTTCGGATTGGCTACTCATGGGATATATTTGATTGGCACTTTATGGGATCGAAAAAAAAATTAAATTAATCTGATGAATAACAAAAGATCAAGATCAAGCATTGATATTGATCTCGATTTCCACAATACAAGCTACTTCCCACCTCAGTCTATACAACTAGTTTAATTTAGGTAATTCAAGTGGATAAGAAGGCTAAACATCGAGTTAACCTCTTCTTATGCTCTAAACAGAACCAAGATGATTGTCAGGATATCCGGGAACTCTTCAAGTTTCTGGGATACTCGGTGGAAATGTTTATGAGTAGTAGTGCAGGGGTATCTATATCGGCGCTGGGCTCTTTCTTCCACCTTTTCCCTCTTGGGACAGAGAGAAAGGTGTTCTACGCTTCAGAAACAGTAAGAAAAACTTTACTTCTAAAGGGCTGGAAACTTTTGAGAATGATATTTATTTAAGATAAGTAGATAAACTCTACAATATTAACTAAAATCTTTTTATTACATTTCTTGCTAATATGCCATTTTACTGTTATCTAATTGCTTGAATATGTAGTTTTCTGATCTCTCATTCATAATGGTTCAATCTCCTCCGCACTGAACAATGAGCAATGTTTGTGAAGAAAAAATTAAAGTTAAACTTTTAAGTTGAAGTTGAACGTCTCGTAAAGACACTTGAGATGGAATTTAAAGAATTTGAGCCGCGGTTTAAATCCGCCAAACCCCGGTTTAAATACAGCGCCGTCTTAAATCTTGAAACTTTTGATATTTAAGTGGAACCAACCATATTTAAACCGCGGCTTAAATTTAAACCGTCGCTCAAATTTTTTAAATTCGGCCAATGGACTACTAATCTGTATATTACAGGTTGGTGAAAATGTCCCTGTTACTCCTGACAACATTCTTGTGTTTTCTGATGACCCATCCGTTCAACATCTTCTGCAGCAACTTGAATGCATCCAGGATGAGTACCTTAAGTATGGTGTTAGACCTGCTGGACCTGTCAAACCTGATGATATTATTGTAGTTCAAGCAGAAGGAATATTCTACAGAGGCAGAGTTCTAAGCTTCAATTCTCAGGTTAAGATTTCATACAATTAGGAAGATATGATTTGTGCAAGAAGAAATACCAAAATTGATATTAATGAAATTAAATGAAAAAATATATTTGTTTTTCCCTCTTTATAAAAATGCTGGTGAAATGGGGACATTTTTAAATTTGGGGAGAGGGGGGGGGTGAATTTATCTTACTATGGAAAAAAGTTAACAAATTGTTTTGAAACTGCCTTGAAACTTAATCTGTAAGAAAGACACAGTGCAGCAAAAATTGCCTAGGATGTTTCACTAAAAAAAATATATTAATAAAAAATATAAACCAATATTAGTGCAGGAAAATATCCAGCATTGCCATGTCTAGAATATTTAAACCTTTAAACTTTGTCTTGTGCAGTACAGTGGCCTTGTATTCACAGCTAATGCAAATAAGACCCTTTTTGGACAGTAACTTTAGATTTGTTCTTTGAAATAAAAAAAACTTAACTAAATTTTAAGTTAAAATAATAACTAATTGTGTATGGTCTTCCTCATAGAAGGTGTGAAACATAACTATACATAACTATATAACTACTAGAATACAGAATAAATTATAGGAAAGGAGAGTGCGAGTTAGATTTGTTGATGTTAATGGAGAGATTGAAGTATCTTGGTGGGACTCCTACACCCTTCTTAAACAGTTTAACATACCTCCGGTTCTTGTAATGACAAGGATGTTCAATGTAGGACCAAAAGGTAAAATAAGAACAAGTTGAAACCCCTTAAAATGTTAGCTCGGCCATCAAAAAAAAGTTTTAGTCATAGTTCGATTTTACTTGAAGAACGTCCAAATCAACCTTTTTAAATGTTCTCCAACTTTTTAGTAATCTCTTTGATAAACATATTTCCTAAGTTTAAATCATCAAAACCCTTAGCTATTCTTCTAACATGGTTATATTAATGGAATAATTTAGCCTGACATTTATTATCAATGGCACTTTATTTTTCCTTAAAAGTGGGAAAGATAGATATTTTTGAACATACTACCCCTGTATAAAAACTAAATGTTTAGGCGATGTATGGAATGAAGAAGTTTCTGATGCCCTGCACACTCTACTGATTAGTGAATCTCTAACCATGAAGGTTGAGAAGGTTTTAGAGGATGGACTTCTGGTAAACTTCTACAGCAGGGAGGACAGTCTTCGTTTCAATGTTGAAAAGCGTCTGTTTAACATGGGACTTATTGAAAGGTTGGTAATATAGAAATTCAAAATAGGTCTTTTGGTCTCTTGATTCAATAGATTTAGTATACTATTTTTTTGCTCACCAACAAAAATTTTATAGCATGCCTATTAATCATGAAATGTAAAAAGTCGCTTATTTCTTTTGATATATAGTGGTCAATGACATTCTGAATTGGTAATTTTTCAATAATAGATTAACTTTTTAAAGGAGCAAATCTTTATTAAATTTTGATTTTACTGAACACATTATTAAGTTTTGCTCTAAATCATTTAGATTTTAGAACATGCGTTTTACAACAGATTTGAAATACTTGTGCCCAACCTTTAAAGTCTGATTGACAGTGACAGCCTGATCAAATACAGAAACACGGTTTCACAGGATCTTTCGTGTTTTTGGAATCTTTCAGTTGCGGTGTTTTTTGAGGGTATTATGTAAAATAAAGAAAAAACGTGATCCATAAATCAAAAATGTTCACTTTATGTGTCTTTTTGTTAGGATCATTTCTTTTAGGAATTTTTCAGTTAAGAGACAAACAAATGTGAGGGAATTATGGCTAAAAAATCACCTCTGCAGACAAAAAAAACTTTAGATGTTGTTTTTCAGAATCATTTTTTGGGTTTTAAGATTTTTTTTAGTTAAGGAGACAAAAAATGAACAAATCATGAAAAATTAAGGGGGAAAAAACGTGAATGAATGTACCAACCAATAATTTTCTGTATGTTTTTAAGATTGGATGGCAACCTCAGAAATATATCAGCTGAAACCTCTGACAATATTGATGTTGTAATTGAGGAGGTTAGAGACATTCCTTCTAGAGAATCTTTTATCAGACCAGAAACTCTTGTCAAAAAAGATCAAAGGGTTAATAAGGAAAGTTCTGCAACTGAAAGAAATGCATGGAAACCTTTTGGAAACCAAATTGAGCACACATGTACTAGAGTGGATAAACATCAGGAGGTTTCTCAGGCTAACCCTAATATCCTTATTTCAAATCAAGACACTTCGCACAATACTTCTGGTATTCTATACAACACCAGTAAAGATAAGTGTTCTTTTGAAGAAACATCAGATACAGGAACATCTAGCCCTGGTAGCCAGCCGAAGCCACTGGTGTCATGCCAGGCAAAGCTAACAAGTCAGATCCTTACCCCTGAAAATTCTAAAGTTCACCCTAATTTGAAGGAAACTTGTCTGAGGATTGATCCTCCCTGTACAACTGCTAGAGATGTTCTCTTCAAATATTGTAGCACTGGAATCTCTAAACAAAGCAGTAAACCTCTTGTGAATTCGAATTTTAATCAAATTTCCTTCAAATCTGACATCAATGACAATGACATCAGTGATGCCACCATCACTGAATCTACTGATGCCACCATCACTGAATCTACTGATGACGAAGATGAAGTTAGAAGTCCCCATCCTGCTGATCTTGATACCCTTTTTTATCCTGAGAATGAAGTAACTGATATGAACAACAAAGAGATTCGAATCTTGTATGTTCAAAGTCCCTTATGTATCCAAATGCGTAGATGCATGGACGAAGCCTATGTAGAAAACATGTTGGGGATGATAAACAACAGCTTGGAGCGTGATCTCCCTGTCCCAGTCTCCCCTCACAGTATTCAGGTCAACTCACTGTACCTGGCTTGGATTGACGGAGTGTATCAGAGAGTCGTTGTAACAAAGATAACGGATAAAGCTGCAGTTTTCTGTCCCGATCTAGGCATTTATCAGAGCATTGAATTCAACCAGTTATTCATGAAAACTGAAAAAATGTTGCGACATGCTTGTCACACATTTATTTTTAAGATACGGGGTGTGCTGCCATTAGACCATGAAACATGGACTGATGCTCGCTTAAAGCTTACCAACCTAGGAAAGGTCTACAAAGTTTTCCTTCGTAATGTGGAAAAAGGCGAGGATGGATTCGTTGGAGATCTTGAGTTTTTCAAAGAGAAGAACCAGGAAGACAACAATTCAATCCTTGATCCAGTTGAGCCTGGAATACTAGCTTCTGATTACCTCACCAGGTATTCACTAGCAAGGAAGAGTAAGCAAATCAAGCAGTTTGAGACCATTAAGCCTCTTCCTCCTGCTCTGCCAGTTACCCCACTTGCTTCATTAAACACCGGTATTTCCTATCCAGACGTTTCAGCTCAAGAAGGAACAAAGTTCTCTGGGATTATCTCTGGGATTGATGACAACTTCGTATTCTGGATATTACCTAAGTCTCAGTATAAAAACAGAGACCGTATCTACAGCATTACTAGTCACTGTGAGGTATTTTTTTTTGTAACTAAAATATTCTGAGCAATTGGGTTTTGTTATGTGGCTTAGAAATGGTATTGTTACTTGATTTTTACATCACAAAACAAATAAGAAACTGGAATGGATTTTTCCCAGAGATTCAGCCTTAAAGATCTTTTAAAAATCGCTTCTGCTAACATTTTATAATGTTGGCAGGAAATCTTTGTTTAGTGTTTGTGGAATTTGTTTGAATCACAAAAAAATCATATCCAATTAGTTTGTTTCCGACTTTCACATTGTCCAGTCCATGCAGATTGCATGGATATTCTGATTGGATGCACATGTATGTTTCTCTAGTACGTGACAACAGTTGCAGGGTGTCAATAAGTAGAAAAATGGCAAGCAACGGAAAGACAAGAAAATATAAGAAAAAGAACAACTTTCAACCTAAATCTGAAGCTAAAATAAAAATGGAAGATAATTGTTTAATTCAGTGTTTCGGATCCATATCATTTTGATTCGGATCCGGATCCGAGGTAACTTTTGATTCTGTGAATCGGATTTTCCCTATTAAATGTTATGCAAGGTTATAATTTATAAACTATAGTAATCCTAAAGTTAAAAATGTCGTCATTACTATTATATAAATGTAAACATTAAATTATTAAAAATAATTTTGAAAAATTTTCGTCATGTAAATAATACATTTACGAACCATTTTGATTTATTTATTCCATGGTTTTGGTTAATTTTTGGCGCTACCCGGATCCATATCAACGTTTCCTGATACGGATCCGGATCCGACCAAATGATACGGATCCGACCGGATCCGGATCCGAAACACTGGTTTAATTGATTTTATTATGAAGAAACTGAAGGGTCTTAGAAGGGGGAAAAGGCTGATAAGTCTCCTGATACATCAGTTGGGGAACTCTAAAACTTTCTCGCCATTAAACCCGAGCATAAGGGGGTTTTGGGCGTTTTCTGCCTTATAGAAAGCGAGCATCAGGCTTAATGCTAGTTTTCTAAAAAGGCAACAAACAAGCATTAGGCTTAATGCTCGATTTCTCCCTTATATAAAACGAGCATTAAGCTTAATGCTCGTTTTCTGCCTTATAGAAACCATTCACCTCCCGATCTAGGGATCTGGGTGTTTTGTAGTCCTAAAAACTATTAATTTTGAGTTGTCTTGTCATATAAATCGCTGTCATGCTTGTTCTAAGACTTTTCGTTTTTCTCTTTTTAATGTATGATTTGATTTATGTTTGCATTTAATTGTTATAATTTTTCATCGATAAAATCAAAAACCTTTCTTACATCGCACAACAGCAGACATACATGATGTCCGATATTTGTATTACAAATAATTGAAAGCACATATTTTTTATTTTTTTTTCTTGGTAACTTTAACTTCTTCACAACACATGGAGGGGGGGGGGGGATGTAATTAAACAGTTTGCAAGCATAACAGGAACTTTTTAATGATTTTAGACTTTTAAAAGGTTTTACGAGGAGGTTCCAAAATTTTAAAACTTCATTCTGTAGAAATTTGCTTTTATCAAATATGCAAATGTGTTACCCTAGAAGAAAATATACGGCAAAAAAACGATAATTGAGTTTTTATTTTGAAGAATATTTAGAACTTATATAGAAGCTTTTCTGGGTTGCACTCTAGTTTTGGATTATTTTCATTTGTGTAAAAAAAGGTTCTGTTGAAGGTTTAAGACTAAACAGCTAATGATTTATTGGAGGGAGGGATGGATGGCAAAAACACCAATTTGTAATTCCCAAATCTTTTTATCGAAGGTGATTGTAATAGGGTATACAGAGTACTTCAAGGTACAGGGTACTACAATGTACTGCTAAGTACTGGGCTTTACTGGGGTATACTGGGGAGGAGGGGGTACAGAAACCAAACAGAATTTTTATTTTTAATAAAAATATATAAGTAGAGTCAAAAGCACTTCTAAGCATATTTTCTTTATTGTTTTGCACTATTTTCATGGACGAAAAAGCTGGTTTTATACTAATCAGCTCATCACTTAATATAGGGAGGGATTTCAAACACGCGAGTTTGTAATCCCCATATCTGGAGGGTACTGCTGGGTACTTTGGGGTACTGTGGGATACTGTGGGATACTGTGTGGTAGTGTGCGGGTACTGCAGGGTACTTCATGGTACTGCTGGTTACAGCTGGTTACTACTGGGTACCGGGTGAGTACTGGGGTTGGTACTGTTTTGCACAAATGAAAATGATGCAAAACTAGAGTAAAGTGCAACCCAGAAAAGCTTTATATAAGTTCTAAATATTTTTGTTCAAAATAAAAATTCTGTTTGGTTTGGCAACATTTTTTCAGAATCTTTCCTACTTTCTGAAAGGTTTCACATCGGTATGTTTAAGGATTTGTACTCCTTATAAAGCAATAATTATCAATAATTATTTTGACTTAAACCCTTAACAAAGTAAATTTAGAAAAGACATGTCGGGTTGAGAAAGTTTTCTATAAATATATGCAATCACCCAGAAGAAAAAGTTTCAGTAAAATTAAACATTTTTAGGTTTTATGGGACGTTTTCAAAAAAATGCAAAAAAAAATATTTCTGACACCCCTAGGCTTAGTTCGTCAATATAATTCACCAAAACCAAACTGCAGTTTTTCATCTTTCTAAATATCCCAGGCAAAGATTTTAAAATAAAAAATTGTATAACACGTTAGATTTTATTTATTGGTAAACGGACAAAGTTAGGAAGGAATGGTTCAGTGACGTAATTCTTTTAGAAATTGTCTATAATAACATATGACACTATACATACATATACATATTAATTACAAACCTGCATATTTTGCATGAAGGGGGGGGGGGGCCCGGCGGGAAACCATGGGCGTTTTAATGGAGTGGATGTTTATGTAAGGCAGAAACCGACCATTACGCCTAATGCTTGCTTTCTATAAGGCAGAAAATTAGCATTAAGCTTAATGCTCGTTTTCTATAAGGGAGAAAACGAGCATCAAGCCTAATGCTCGTTTTTCTATAAGGCAGAAAACGCCTAAAACCCCTTATGCTCGGGTTTAAGGGCGAGAAAGTGCTTCAGAACCCCCAACTGTACATCTGATAATAGCATCATTATCAATAAATCGTTAAAGCGGTGCACATCGAGGAAAGGAAGGCCAGCCACAACAATTTCTGGTCCCAGCCACATTCTCATTCTCTCATCCGAGCCACCTCGAAATCCTTGTCCTTTCAATATTATTTTCCAAAAGTGTCTATTCCTCCAAGATGAAACAATTTTTTAAGAATCGGGCCACGTTAGTGCATAAATGAAATATTGAATTTTAATAAATTGAAAAAAAAAATAGTTTGAATTGAATAAAGTTTTCGAGTTCTATGTCCTTAAAAATGTTCACCTTTTTTACGCGCATTTTCAGATATTCCTGGTATTCCTGCCGCAAATAATTTCGAGATTATAGAACTTCAATCTTTTTTCTCAATTATAGTGAAAACCAGAGATTTTTTCCAGGTGGTTCCATGGGCAAAATGATAGGCATAGGTATGTCAAATATTTTGCTATTACGGAGGCAGAAGAGTTTTAAGTTTTACCTGAATAAAGTTTAACATCATTCTCATGTCTCTAAAGATTAAAACATGATTTAATCATTGTAATACTTTAGTCTAACCATATTTTATGCCCTAACGTGGCCATTTGTTAGAAATAGTTTCACAACTGTCATACCTATGTATAAGCCTGTAGTATATTAACTTTTTAAACAAAGGGAAAATTTATGCTCAATTGTAAAAGGTGTAGTTGCTTGTTGGGTTAAAAACGAACATGATTTTGAGGTCATCGATAGTTTGAGGAAAAAGTTTTTGAATCCATCTTTTTAACGTAACAGTTTCTCCAAATAAATTCAAAATAATTGGTAACATATACAGACCTCCCAATTCTAATATTGATAATTTTTCTGAAATACTAGATACAATTCTTTAAAAAATTTCGTTGGACAATATATTGAATAAATCTGAAAGTTGAAATAATGGGAGATCTGAATATTAACTTGCTTAATCACAATTCTCACAATGCTAAAATCTAACTTTTTGAACACCCTGTTATCACATTCACAACTAATTACTTTGCCCACGCGTATCTCGGAAACTTTTGCCACACTTCTTGATCACATTTATTCTAATTCAAACCCAGATTTAAAATTGTGGAATTATTTATTCAAATTTATTCTAATTCAAACCCAGATTTAAAAGTGTGGAATTATTTATTCAAATTTATCTGATATTTTTTCTGTTTACTAACTAAGTGCCCTCAAAATAAAGATATTCCTGAGAGTCAACCAATTTTAATTAGAAATACTAAATTGCAACTAAATGACTTGACACCTATAATGATAAATAAAGACCCTGTTACTGCATTTTCTGAATTTTCTAGCACAAATAATATTTATGAAGATAGTTTTCCCTTCATAGAGTCAAAACCAAACAAAAATAAGAACCCCATCAACCCTTGGTTTACATCTGCTTTGCTATTGTCTAGGAAAATAAAAGAAATTACGAAAAAAAATTTAAACCTAAATCCCATAAATAAAGCTGCTTTTAGAAAATATAACTCTGTCTATCGTTCTTTGGTCAAAAAGGCCAAAGCCAGTTATTTTTACTCAAAGTTTCAAGAATATTCAAAAGATATAAAAAATCTTGGACCTTACTTTACTCTATAATTTCCTCTAAAAAATTTTTAAGTTCCTGATATATTTACTGAAAAAAAATCAAACTTATGTAGGATCTAGTGAAATAGCAGAAGGTTTTAATGTTTTTTTTTTTTGTCAACGTGGGACCTAGTTACATTCCGGAATCTAATGTCACTTCAGAAACGTATTTAAATGAGTCCATACATGAAAATTTTTTTAAGGCAAATATTACACCGGATATTATTTTAGAAACAGTAAGTAAGCTGAAACCAAAGAACAGCTCAGGAAAAGACAATATTTCTACCAAACTACTGAAGGAGATTATTGATTGTATCAATTATCCTATAGCACATTTATTTCATCTTTTTTTTAAACAGGATACATCCCTAGCGAGTATAAATGTGAAAAAGTTATTCCCATCTTTAAAGTGGACGAAAAAGTGAAGTTTAATAATTACAGACATAGATCTAAAAGTATTCTTCCAGCTTTGAGTAAGCTACTTGAAAAAATTGCTGCGATACAAATGGTCAGATATCTTAATAAGTTTTTTACGAGCACCAATATAGATTTAGACCTAAACATAACACAAATCAACCACTTTTGCATTTAATTATCTTATTAACAGAACTCAAATATGTATGTGTAAATGGAGTTTTTTTAACAGAAAAAAATATAACATGTGGTGTTCCTCAAGGAAGTGTTCTAGGGCCCCTGCTGTTTCTTCTTTATATAAACGATTTGCCCTTAGCAACATCTTTTTTACCAGCCTCTTTGCGCAGATGACACTAGTTTTTTAAAGTCATCTTCTGATATTGCAAGCCTAATACTTGATGCAAACACTAAAGTAAAAAAAGCAGCAAAACGGTTTCAGGCAAATCGTTTGACACTGAATGTCTCTGAATAAAGTATATAGTATTTAGAATTAAAAATATGCACTTTGACCCAAACATTTGTAATATATCAATAGGAAATGAGACACTTGAAAGAATTGGTAATGACTGTGTGAACATTATTTCAAAGGAATTGAGTCTTTGCCACAAACTCTGATTTTCCAATCCCTATATCTTTGCAACCCAATGTCTTAGACCTTATATATTTCAAACTAGGTATACTGCTAGATCAAATTATCTAAGTTTGAAATATGAAAGGTTTACTCCATCAGGTTCCAAAGATATAGGGCTTTAAACCTTTTAGTTTGTGGCAAAAACTCAATTCCCTTGTTGGACTTAAACTTGACGAATTTTTAAACTGGGATTTTCAAATTGAACATAATTCGAATAAAATTGCTAGCACAATCTTTGCTTTGTCTCAAATTCAGAATATCTTACCATTAAACATTCGTCTACTTGTTTATAACTCTCTTGTATGGCCTCATATTGAATATGGAATTGTTACTTGGAGAGGGATTAAAAACTCTAAACTAAAAGTAGTTTCTAGGCACATTTAAATCCATTATTTTCAAAACTGACAGTTCTTAATCTTGATGATACATACAAACTCAGTGTTCTGACATTTATGCATGGATACTTTAATGATAACCTTCCCTCTTCTTTCCAAAATATGTTTAAGTCTCTAGCTGAACCGAATCATATAAATTAGAACGGGTTTTATAAAAAAAATCTAGAAAGCGTTCCGTATGCAATGTTTCCTAAATTGTGGAATGCAATTGAATTTGACCTTGAAGAAACTAAATCTGCAAAAATATTTAAACAAAGAGTAATCAATATTTATCTTGAGAATTATGAGAGGTTTAAATGCGAAAAACCTAGTTTATATCATGTGAGTAGATTTTATTAAAAAAAAAACTTTAAAAAACTGAAACTTTATTAGCTTATTTGTGTTTGTGTATCTACCTTTCTTTACACCCTGTATTTTAATATATCTACATTGTTGCCTCTGATCTCACCCTGCCCGAGATCACCTGACAATCAACTCCTTACCTATCTAAAAACATAATTTGATGTGTGTAACCAATTATATTCATTATCGTTAACTAACTTAGGGCCAACCACTCTCAACAACCTACCCTGGTTAGGCGGGTCCAAACAGCATAATAAATTGCGATTGCTTTTGTAAAATATCTCATGCTTTGTAGTTGAATAAAAATATGAATGAATGAATGAATGAATCTACTGTATCTTTGCAAGAGAATTTCCTAGTCGGTTGTCCTAAAACCTAAACAATTAAATGTCAAATTTATTAATAAAGAATAATTATAACATATATTGTTTTTAGCTGTCCAACTCTGTCCAAATTTCCAAGGGGGATATATTACTGGACTGTACTGAAGTTGAGTCTCCAGTCCGGGTCATGATCGTCAAGAAACTAAATCACGACATCTACCAAGTCATAGAGATCGACGCAGGAGGCGCGATTTATGTTCGCAGCCGAACAACTCTCCGTCAGGTTCCAAAGAAGTTTGAATCTATTCCGCCGACGACTGTTCCAGTCCAACTTTATGGCCTTAAGAAACAAATAGGTTAGATAATAGTTTTAAAATATGTAATGAAAGTAACTGTTTTTGATGTAATAAATAATTTTGTTAATGGAGTATTATTTATTTAATTCATTATTTTTTCTTATTTCAGATTGTCGGTCTGGGAAGCAGCTTTTGGACATAGTGAGGATGGATCATCCATCCTTGTTTTGCGATGTTCACGTCAAGGAAATTTTACTTTGTCTAAATTCAACTACTTAACAATTTATTATGATTTTTAGTCATCTCCTATGCAAGACTGACAAAAAAGTTTTTTTTCTCCCTGCGTAAATCCCTCTTCCCATTTTAGAACATGCGAGGGATGTTCAATAAGTTATGTGAAATTTCCTTTAAAGGTACTTCAAGACGTCTCTGCCCTTTATTTTTTTTTGAGGTTTACTATATTTATACCAGTTCAATTTTCTGACCAGCTAATGTCGATCAGATGTTATGTTGCACGCAATTAGGTTTTTCCCGGATCCTCTTGATGATGCTTGTTACATGGTAATTAATATCCACAGACTTAAAATTTATCCATTTAAGCGTGTTCTAGAGGTTGGATAACTTTAAAAAGTCAAAGGAGGGTAAGCTTTTATTGTAGAAAGAGTCCTTCAAGATGTTTATATTTGTAATCTACATTTCATCAAGCAAATAAGTATCTTTTCCTAGGTAGAACCTCTTCGGACAAAATGTTGTCCAAATCTCTGCCATTCTTTAAATCTTGCTTTACAACTTTGTTTGCGGCACCATAGCAGATGTTAAACTCATCAAAAATCGTCAACTAAGAAGCCTTGCGAATTTGGTTTTAGAAACTTTCAATTGTGTCGACAGTTTGTGGGTTTTTTGTGGATTTTTTCTGCTCAGACATTTCCTATTCTGCCAACACTCTCCATATCACTTTTTCCCTTTTAGTCTACTTGTAGACTATTGCCTTGTCCATATTATTATCCTCTAATGCATTTTGGATCATTTCAAATGTGTCTGCTTTATATTTAAAAAGCTTTAGGCACGAAATATTCGTGTATCGAGCATCCCAAGTGTCCCCTTTCCCTGATTGGTAATAAAACATTCCCCTGGGTTGACAACGGAGCTAAACAATCTCCCAGAAAAAGCGGATTACAAAGAAATAAAAAGTCTGATGAATAAAGTCTGCCGAAAGAAGACAACCGGGATGGATACAGTGAGCTTTGAAAAAAATTACACCTGGCAGAGACGGCAATAAGTACGTTTAAAAAACATTCACAAAACTAATTGAACATATCTCGTAATCTATTTTTTTTCAGGTTGGATTTCACTTGTTGTCCAAAAGACCTTTATATTACCAAATCAGACTTTGCAAAGAAATGGAATTATTCCTAAAAAGTAAAATGGTTTGAAAGGTTCCAACCCCTTTATATCCCAAGCAAGCTGTTATACTGATGGAAGGAGGAGTTAACCTTGCATTAAGACTATTAGAGACAAGGTTAGATTTTACTGGAGGATACAGTGGGACCCATAAAACTGTGGAATAGGATAATCACTGTTATACTCAAGTTGTAATTTTATATATTTAATTTTAGATTTCAATTTTCCTATTTGACAAGACAGTGAGTAATATTCGCTGGGATGGGGAGGGGGGGTTGTGAAAATAAACACCCCTGGATTTTTTTTCTAAAGTAGTTGGCCACCCTGGCGATACTTGGCTAGATTTAATAGTGGGAAACTTGGTTAGATTTTACATTAGGACACTTGGTTAGATTTTACAGTCGGACACTTGGTTAGATTTTACAGTAGAACACTTGGTTAGATTTTACAGTAGGACACTTGGTTAGATTTTACAGTAGAACACTTGGTTGGATTTTACGGTAGGACACTTGGTAAAATTTTACAGTAGGACACTTGGTTGGATTTTACAGTAGGACACTTGGTTAGATTTCACAGTAGGATATCTGGTATGATTTTACATAAGGACACTTTGTTAGATTTCACAGTAGGACACTTGGTTAGATTTTGCAGTAGGACACTTGGTTAGATTTTACAGTAGACACTTGGTTAGATTTTACAGTAGGATATCTGGTATGATTTTACATTAGGACACTTGGTTAGATTTCACAGTAGGACACTTGGTTAGATTTTACAGTAGGACACTTGGTTAGATTTTACAGTAGAACACTTGGTTAGATTTTACAGTAGGATACTTGGTTAGATTTTACAGTAGAACACTTGGTTAGATTTTACAGTAGAAGACTTGGTTGGATTTTACAGTAGAACACTTGGTTAGATTTTACAGTAGGACACTTGGTTCGATTTTACAGTAGAACACTTGGTTAGATTTTACAGTAGAAGACTTGGTTGGATTTTACAGTAGAACACTTGGTTAGATTTTACAGTAGGACACCTAAATCTATGTTTGAAGAGGGTTCAAGTTGTGCTCCGGACTCGAGGATTGGATGACAGAAGTGAAATCAAGTGGACTAGACTGGATTGAAGGAAACTCTCCAGAACTCTCTTCTCCTCCCCCTTCCTTCTTGCCATTGCAGGTCGGCCGAGTATATTTTTTACATTTTTTCCCTCATTTATTTGTTATGAAAGGAATATATCTAAAGTTTACCTTTCAGAGAGATGTAAATAGTTATACAGCACTCTTAACATTGGTCATTTGAATTTATATCAAGCATGGAATAATATTAAGATTATTTCTTTTTTGCTTTAGTACACCTAAAGTTGAGTCTTAGAGATGATTAACAACTAATGTTAGTTAATTAATGTTTTTGGGACCAGGTTTAATGAATAGAAGAAGCTGGAGGATTACATCAAACCACTTCTCTTTAGCTTTAACCGGCGCAAAAGAGAACTGGTTGAACTGGTAGCACCTGGTTCAAATACTTCTAGTTGTTTATCTAATCTGGTTCCTGGTTTTAGGTTGGGATGGCATTCATGATGACACCGACATCCTTCCTGGAGAATATTTCTAATGAACCAGTTGATTCTCACACGAGGGAACTATTGCTTTTATAGAATTGTACAATACTGACGTTATTAATACATGATGTACAGTGTACACTGTACAAGAATGATTGTTAACAAACTCCGTGCAGCTTTGGTTGACATTTCTCCAAAAACTTCTGTACACTTTTGTATCCGTTAAAATATGGGCCCATGGTGGGTTCCTTGCTTAAACCAAGAAATAATGGGAACTCCCTTAGGTTTGCTTACAAATAATGCATATTTCGGGGATTAATGTAAACTTCCACAGTGCTGATTCGGCTAAGCTTAGTTATTGTACCTCCCAGAAACCGTATTAAAATTTTTATGGAGAATTCCTTCCTAAATAAAGAACCTGGCAAATTACGTTTCAAAGAAATTTTAAAAAAATAAGCTTATTTCAATCCTCATGACAACTGAGAACTTTCAAATTCGGTGATGGGGATGGACCAAACCTCTGTAGAGTAAAAAAGTAGATGTTAGTTCCACATTTATTGAAAATATATTTCGGTCTGGGTTGACCCTCGTCAGTTCTAACAATATAATAACCATCAAAATCGATAAAATAAATATATTAAAAAATGTTTGTTACACATCACAAGAAAATAAACAAACAAAAAAGATTATTCAAAATAAAAATTTGGGCTGCCAAATGGACATAAGGGAAACGAACTCAGATTATCCGATGGATAAAAGATAATTTGCAAGTATTCACTTTTTTTTAAAAATATTATAAGACAATTATTATTCCTTGAGATTGTTTCTGTCACAAAGGTTAAAAACAAACTGTTTCTGAGTGTTTAGATAAACGTGTATAAAGTGATGGTGGGGGTCGAACTAATTAATGAACCACTGTGTAAATCGGGGGGAGGGGGAAGGGGGGTTGGCTTGTTTAAGTAGGGGTATTTAAACCTTTTAAAGAATTGGACCTAAACAACTCTTTTTTAAAAAAGATGCTGAATTACAGTTTACAGTTTAATAAAAACTATTTTTTTTCTGTTCATTCCTCTGAGTTTAGTCATAAAATCTTTTTTGTATTTAGATTATCGTACTTCAAGTAAACTTCCGAGGTCCCAAACCTAAAACGCTAACTTTTAGATGGTAGAGTTCATGTGAAAGGTTAAAATGTTTTCCTGTAGGCTGGTTTGTATGGAGATTTCTAATGTAACCAATATGTTCTCTCACTCTTTTATATAAAGATCTTGTTGTCGGTCCTATATATTGTAGTTTACACTGCTGACATGTAATACAGTGAACTACGTTTCTGGTCTTACAGTTGAAAGTTTCATTAATCTCAGAATAGACGATGTTTTGATCTAATGTAGTGTTCAAACAAATTAAAGTTCGTAATTCAAATGTCGTCATTTTATATAATGGACCATAGTCATAGTCATAGACTCATATTTCTTAACTTAACACCTGTAAAATTAGAATCATTTAATCAATCATAGATTTATTTGATGTCAAGAAAGGAAATAGCTTGACCAGTAGCTTGAAAATGAATTTATTGAGTCTAGGTTTATAAGTTTACAAAAAATAGTTCAACTATATAGAGGGCTGATTGTACATCCCATCCCAGCAAGTAAGGAGCTGACCCGTGTGATCAGCCAGGAGGGGTCGAAGGAGTCCTGGGAGTTAAGTGTGGAACTGGAGAAATCTAATCCTTGCGTCTCTAGACTTCACAAAGTCTTCAATGAAAGGAAGGAGGAATACAAAACGTAAGCTTTTTGTTAAAACAACGTTATAAATGTATATGGGAGGGATTGAGAGAAGGAATAGATATTTATCATGTTTATCGTAGACGATCATTAACAGTCTTTTAATTTGCACTACAAATCCCCAAAAAAATGAATATACCATATTTGAAATATCTACCATGATATGTAAAAGTATAATAGATAGCACTAAAAAGAAGGAGAAAAATACTGAAATAGGAATTTACATATCCTCAACACTTAAAAACTATTTAACTGTTATATTTCATAAACTTTAAATATAAAGATTAGCAATGAAACAAAACGTGTTATTTGTAGGGTGTCGATGAGTGAAGCTACCTCGGAAAACTGGAAAGTTGGAAACAAAGTTTTAGCATTCTTCGAAGGTATAAAGGGACTGGTTAGATGTTTGGTAAGAGTGAGGTACCAAATATTAAACAAAGGATTCTAAATGGATTAATCTTTTTACGGGTACATATGATTCAAAAAAAAAATACTAATTGTTTTAATAAATTTTTGCTAAAAGACTTTTAAAATAAAAGATTTGTTCTGCCTTGCAGTTATTGAGTCAAGTTGTTAAATATATTTCTCCATTTAGGAGAATCAAATATTTATTTTGGCATCGCTTCTCATCTAGATTCATGGAGGTCAAATTTATGTGAAATTACTTGTACGACTTTCTGACTTTGCCACCTTGTAGCTCCAGCAGTTTTGATTTTAGGCAACAAATAGGACGGTATTTGGTTACATTCTAGAAATATTTAGACTAACTTTATACTCATCTATAAAAGGAGAAATAACAGAAAACATTTAAAATGTCAATCTTACATAAAATTTACTTAAATTTGACATTTAATTTCTAATCTAATAACTATGTAGATGATGAGAATCCGAATATGAATGAATGGACTAGAGGGGTGATAGAAGCTGTAGATATCCTTGAGAAAACAGCCAGTGTTTACTTTTCTGATTACAGATACATCGGGACAGATATACCGTTCAGGTAGTGTATAGGAACAGATATACAGTTCAGGTAGTGTACAGGAACAGATATACCGTTCAGGTAGTGTAAAGGAACAGATAAACATACAGTTCAGGCAGTGTAAAGGAACAGATATACATACAGTTCAGGTAGTGTACAGGAACAGATATACATACAGTTCAGGTAGTGTATAGGAACAGATATACAGTTCAGGTAGTGTATACTAACAGATATACATAACAGTTCAGGTAGTGCATAGGAACAGATATACATTTCAGTTAGTGTAAAGGAACAAATATACAGTTCAGGTAGTGTAAAGGAACAGATATACAGTTTAGGTAGTGTAAAGGAACTGATATACAGTTCAGGTAGTATAAAGGAACAGATATACAGTTTAGGTAGTGTATAAGAACAGATATACAGTTCAGGTAGTGTATAGGAACAGATATACAGTTCAGGTAGTGCATAGGAACAGATATATTTAACAGTTTAGGTAGAGTATAGGAACAGATTTACAGTCAGGTAGTGCATAGGAACAGATATACAGTACAGTTGTATAAGAACAGATTCACAGTTTATGGTGATATAGGAACAGATATACAGTTCAGGTAGTGTATACTAACAGATATACATAACAGTTCAGGTAGTGCATAGGAACAGATATACATTTCAGTTAGTGTAAAGGAACAAATATACAGTTCAGGTAGTGTAAAGGAACAGATATACAGTTTAGGTAGTGTAAAGGAACTGATATACAGTTCAGGTAGTATAAAGGAACAGATATACAGTTTAGGTAGTGTATAAGAACAGATATACAGTTCAGGTAGTGTATAGGAACAGATATACAGTTCAGGTAGTGCATAGGAACAGATATATTTAACAGTTTAGGTAGAGTATAGGAACAGATTTACAGTCAGGTAGTGCATAGGAACAGATATACAGTACAGTTGTATAAGAACAGATTCACAGTTTATTGTGGTGATATAGGAACAGATATACAGTTCAGGTATGGATAGAAACAGATATACATACAGTTTAGGTAATGTATATGAATATATTTATTTCATTTCTATTTTGTTCAGAAACCTTCGACCTGCTTCCTGGAATTATTTGATGGAACCCGTTCAATTCCTAAAAACAAGGTATATAATCTGCTAGAGTTTGATTGTAATATTAACAAAATATCTTTAAAAGGTAATTTATCTTTCTTTTGATTGATTAACAAATACTAGAAATGCAAAAGTTTTTCCTTTCTGTTCAAGAAGCTTGTTAGGTCTCGCTAAAAATTATTTCCCTAGTTTACTAGTTGCCGAATCTACAGGGTGTCCCACTTCATTTCAGATTGTTTTTGGATCTAAATTGCGATTTTCGGGACAAAAAAATAAAAATAAAAATATTTAGAAAAGTTTATAAGCCTAACTTATGTAAAAATTTGCACGCAGAAATCACCAGGTTTTTCGAGTTTTATATGCATATTTCAGCGTTAAATCCTGGAGATAATCCAATATGAGATGGGACTATATGTTGTAAACCAGAGAGGAACAGTTCCTGGGGAACAAATTGTAACAGTCGCATTAAAATATTTAACAAAAACTATTTGGCTCATTTCCTCAAATATACAGGGTAGGGTTACCCATAAAGGATGAGATTTCAGAACGACTCCACGGAATTTATACTGTTTTCATGGTACCCTGTAACTACATGAAATTCTTTTATCTTTGTCAAATCATTAAATAAGCCATTTAAGAAAAAAGACTAAATTTAGGCTTGGGATTGCTTAATTTGAAGAGTTTCAAGTCGTATTTACAGTCTCATCCTTTGTGGTTAATCCTTCACGTTTCGATATGTAAATATTGATAAAATGTTAGGTATGGAATTCCTTTGTGGTTAACCCTTCACGTCTCATTATGTAAATATTGATAAAATGTTAGGTATGGAATTCCTTTGTGGTTAATCCTTTACGTTTCGATATGTAAATATTGATAAAATGTTAGGTATGGAATTCCTTTGTGGTTAACCCTTCACGTCTCATTATGTAAATATTGATAAAATGTTAGGTATGGAATTCCCCTCGATCAACATGATGCTAAGATGGTTTTGAAGGAACTAGAAGACACTAGTTCATATAAATTGGCAAAGGTAACATACATGCAAACATATACATCCCAAAAAAAACTTAATTACTGATATATTGTTCTTGAATTCCGATGGTCATCAAATGGCCAAAAGATATTAATAAAGCATATTTGTAAGCATATTTTATTTAATGAAATATAATCCGTTAAAAACATATATAAAAAAACCTCCTTAACCTCCTTACCACTTTATATAGATATAAATTTCTTATTATCAATTTTGAGGTTTAAAAGGGACAAAACACAATTTAGATATCCCAAGATTGGGAATGGTCAAGATTTTCTCTGTTATCAGGGTAAAAGAAAATTCTTGTTCTCACCATCATAAACTCTTACCAGAGTTAGAAAGGAATTTGGAACGGTGTATATATTAGTTAAGTGCTGATGAGGTGGTGAGTGATGCCCCGGGGTTAGATCTAAAGTTGAAAGTATATTAACTAACCTGCATATGCACCAAATGCATGAGATTTTGGAGTGCAAAATTGTGAATAAATATCAAGTTAAATAAAAAAATTCATGTTTAGGTTGAGAGGATTGATTATGAGAAAGAAGAGGTGTTTATCAAAATTTTCTCCGTAAAGGCAAGATTATTTTTTATTAAACAAAATTTTAAAAAAAAAAACTAGCCAGCTTAAAATTACATGTCATGAAGTATATGACATCCCAATTCTAGGATTTATTCTTGGAATGAATTTTTACTTTTGCAAAGTGCATTAGTTTCATTGCTTTCCCTATACTTTGCGAAACGATCAAATGATCAGTTTTTGTTCATCTAATTTTTCTTAGCATAGAAATTCTGCATAGTTTAGTTTTAAAGCAAACACAAAATCGTTGTAGTACTCTTTAAAAGTCTAAGGAAAAATTAATCAATTGATTACCCATCAATACTGCAGTGGGGTGCTTTGTTTACAATTTAAAACTGGATTTTTGATGCCTTTACTTTTTAGGTGAAGAAGACAGGCAGTGAAGTTGAAATCTACAAACTTTAAATGCTTATGTCTCTGCGCACATTGACGTCGAGTTAAGAATTTTTTTTTGCAACTACCCGATTACTTCAAATGTAAAAATTGATTTAAACTCTGTACTTAATTTGATGTGCGCAAATTGTTTTGTACCATACAGAAAAGTTGCATCGGGTACAATTACATACCATATATTTTTTGTGTTTTTTTGTGATTTATTAACCATTACTGAGGTTTAGTTTTTTTGGTCAGTAAACTAATTTTTTATGTAAAATTCAATTTTGAAAACTATTGTGCTATATTTCCTCTCTCTTTTTGCGTTAGTAGCTAAAGTTTATTTGTAAATTGTAAATTTAATTTTGATATTTTGCAGCAAAACTTCTTTGCTAATTTTTTTTCATTTCGATAATTTCAGAATAAAACATTGCAAAGAGAATATTTAGAATATTAGAGAGGGTGCTTCTGATGTTATGATTTTCCAGTCATACGTTATCTTCCGTTTAGAACTCGTTCCCCTTATCTTATTCGTTATATGGTAGATAACAAGCTAACATGAGAACCTAGAATTTAGAGACTCGAGGTCTTCTAGAGGTCGTAGTTCATCATTATCTCTCTGCAGCATGCGGGCTCCTCAACTCACTTGTTAAGTACGTGAATTTGGTCCAAAGATACGGGTGTCAATAACCAGGGGATTATAGTGACTTCTTTTAGTCATCTTAAGCCAACGCGGCAGTTTTTGTAAACATTGGAGAACGTCGAAATCTCCGAAAGCTTATAGTTGAAGGTGATAAACGATTCTTAAAAATCAAAATCAAAGGACTAGAAGGTGTCTGCTCTCTCTCTTTTTTTTTCTTAATTTTTCCAGGGGGGCGACGTCCCCCATTATTTCCATGGATGCCAGATATCTCTGTACAGAAAATCTGCAGAGCAGAGTCTATGAATGCAAAGCGGAAGAATTATCACAAGATCTGTTCTGCAAATGAAAATCAAGACAGATATTGTAATATAAGCCCTGAATTGATCATGCCAGAAGATTATACAATTTCAATAGTTCTTCATACACACAACAGCTCAAAGGACTACAGAATCTCAGCTCCAGCTTATAAATGGGGAAACTATCCTTGCATAACCTGTAAAACTAACCCTCATTCACACAAGATCAGAGTAAGATATCCAGTACTGGTTTCTAGCTCTATATTAAACCGACATGCGGCCTGTCCCAGGTCGTATTTACCAGTATACGATCCTTACAGGCCCCTACCCTGAGGCTTACATCTGATTATCTAATAGGGGTGCTGACGGGTCGGGTAACCCCTTTTTCTTCTAAGTTCATTTAGAGGACAAATGAGTTCCTTCGGTATAAATAAATATTAAACAACTGACAGGGCATGCGATCGCTAAATGGATATCAAGGAGATGAGATCCACATAGATTATCCAACTATACCAGGAGCAACTGTCCGTGAGCTTGAACATACCATTATGGCGGAGTTTGGAAATGGTCTTCGTGCTGTAGACGTCCTTTTAGTTGCAGGATTAAACGACATTCTTCGAGGTGCTATAGGTCATGAAATATTAGAAGATATTCAACAGTCCAGTGACTCTGTTAGAGCAATCTCTGCCAAGCCTGGAGATACGTGTTTAAAGCTCTTCTCTCCTCTTTAAAGGGACAGACCGGCTATGTAAGGTACATAGTTAAACTGTGCAGTGTTGTGGGTGGACAAATTCTTCAGGATTCATTTGATACATTAAAAACTTTTTTAAGCTCTGTAAATCCCGAGTTTGAGCGCAAAGCCGACGTTCATAATCGTACTTTTTGGTGGAAACGTTTTCAGCATTAGTGTTTTTTATTGTTATTAAATTACGACGACACAACACAATTCTTCAGTAAACTGATCTTATTCAATTATTAGTTTCTATAGTCACTCATCATTCACAAATATTTTCTGCAGATTTTCTGGAAGTTTTATTTAAAAGACTTTTCCACGCCGTCTTTTTATTTTAAATGAAAAGTCAAAACGTTCGCAGATGTTAAAGAAGCCAAACATATTATACATTTATAGATGAAAAGTTTGTTTGTTTGCCGAAAACGTAATTGTACATAATTATTCCATTACAAATGTGCTGCGAAAAGTAGCTCATAATATATCATATATTTTCGAATATTATCGATCAGTATTATATATTGTTGATATTTTGTTAATTATTACATATTTCTAGTAAAGTCAATAAGAAGTTTTCCATGGATGAGTGGCGTGGCCCCCCAATTTTTCAGGGGGGAGTCAATCCCTGCCCCCACCACCACCACAATAAGTCGCCTCTGTAACCCTCCATGCCCCTTCCCAGTAAATAGTCCTTTACAGGCCCTTAACTTTAGTTTCGTAATTAGGAATTTTAAATAAGTTTTAGCTCCGACATTTCTTATTTGTTGCATCATCCCAGAGTACACTTCATAAACAGTCAGGTTTCGTAACGAAGAGTTCAAGATGTATATCAAGGATTCCATTTTGCAACTTCCTTCGATGCATTATGTTAGATAAATCTTCATGTGAAATTTTTCCTAATTCTATGAATAATTTCAGATTTAAATATGTTTTCTGTCTCGCACAGACTCCGACAGGTATGAGAAAGTTCTTGATTTTCTTCAAAGATTATTGAATTCCTTTTTTTATTTTTTTATTCTCCTTGTCCTCTTTAATTTTCACACAATTTCTTTTCTTTTTTAGTTTTTGATACTTCTTAAAAATATTTAAATTTCTTAAGTTATATTGTTTGATTCGGTTAGCTGTATTATATTTTGTAAACTATGGATTAGCTGTACTACTGTTTATTATAGGTTAGCCGTGCTGTACTATAACTTTACTTCTTTAGACTATGTGTTAGCTGCACTCATGTTAACTTTATGGTTAGCTTTTCTCCTGTATACTTTATGGTTAGCTGTACTCCTGTTTACTATAGACTAGCTGTACTTCGGTATACTATAGGTTAGCTGTACTTCTGTATACTTTAGGTTAGCTGGTAATTTCCTAGTATACGATTTTTGGACCCCCCCATACTCTTGTTTACTATAGGTTAGCTGTACTCCTGTATACTCTAGGTTAGCTTTACTCTTGTATACTATAGGTTAGCTTTACTTCTGTTTACTATAGGTTAGCTGTACTCTTGTATACTGTAGATTAGCTTTACTTCTGTATACTAAGGTTTGCCCTACTTCTGTATACTAAAGATTAGGAATACTCCTGTATATTATAGGTTAGCTGTACTTCTGTGTACTATAGGTACTTCTGTCTACTAAAGGTTAGCCTTACTGTTGTATACTATAGGTTAAACGCAATCCTATTTTCTACAAGGGTAGCTGTACTTCTCTATGCTATAGGTTAGCTTTTCTCTTGTTAACAATAGGTTAGCCGTAATCCTGTTTTCTGCAAGGTTAGCTGTACTGCTGTACACTGGACAGCTGTACTCGTATATATTTAAAGGTTTGCTTTAAAACTGTTATAGCTCAGCTTAACTCCCTTATATAATAGGTTCGCTGTACTAAGTTGGTTAGTTAGTTAGCTCTACTCCTATCAATTAAATAGTTAATGTTCCAGGTCAGCTCCCCGGCTTGTCAACTGTACAGATGTCAGAGTACACTGATCCTAGCAGAGCACAATAATGATAAGCTGAACCCTGTCACACTCCACGCTATAACTGCTGCTAAGCAGATGGGTGGAGAGATCAGCTGCCTCGTTGTCGGATCCAAGAACTGTGCAAATGTTGCCAAGGAGGTTAATCTTACTTTACGCAGGAATATATTTTGGCCAAATTTTCCCACTTGAAACCCGGTTTACCCCCCCCCCCCCCAGAAAATCTCCTTTGTATTAATATGAGGGTCAATGCGACGTAATTTCAAGTAACCCGTCTTCATAAAGATGGACATGCCCGGTTCACAACAACACTAATTTAAACCTTTCCTTGTTTTTCTATAAAATTGAAGTTCTCATAGTGGTTCCTTCTTAATATTGACTTGCGGATATATGCAGCAGATTGAAGGAAAGGGGGTAGGGGGTCCGTAACAGTCCCTTATTAATAAGTAAGTTAAACAATTGCTTTCATTTATCTAAGCTTTGACCAATGTAATTTTAAAGTTTAAAGTTATGCTTGTTGTAGATCTCCGAGGTGGCTGGTATATCTAAGGTTCTTGTCGCGGAGAATGCCGCGTTCGAAGGTTTCCTCCCGGAGAAGGTTGCTCCTGTCCTGCTGGCCAGTCAGAACCAGTTCAAATATACTCATATTTTCGCAGGAGCTTCAGCTTTCTCCAGGTACTAACAACAAAAAACCAATAAAACCTACTGGGCTGGGTTTTTTTTAAACCCGGATTTTTTCCAACCCTGAATTTAAAGTTCAGAGGAAAAAATTATCGATCAAGAGAATATTAACTCCTTAATTTATATACCCCCTCTGAAAATTTACGCTTTTAGAATAAAAATACACTAAAGAAGAATTTTTAGTTTTTTACATTATACTACTATCTTCTGTATACAGATCTGTGCTGCCCCGTGTTGCCGCTAAGCTCGACGTTTCCCCTATCTCCGACATCATTGGAGTCAAGGACCAGGAGACCTTTGTCAGGACAATCTACGCAGGGAACGCCATCATGACCCTCAAGTCCAAGGATCCTGTAAAAGTAAGGATTTTAAACCAAAACGTCGAAATTTTTATAAACGTAGTTTGACGAGGACCTGTAGTTTCTCTTTTAATAGTGAGACAAGATGTTCATAGAGGCAAAAGAATTTTAATTACACCTAGCTCTCTTTCCAAAATAACAATCTACGTTGTGACTCAAAATTTTCAGTGATATGGCTCTTTTTCTAAGTTAGAAATTGGCGATTGTAATCAGAAAATTCTTAGAAAAAGTTAAGTTAGTGTTTTTTAAAAACTTATTTCTATTGGAAGTATTAGAATTGTAAACCAGTTTTGTTTTATTGTATTAGAATTTTAAACCATGAATTTTTTGATTCATTGATTGATTCTACAGATTGTTACTGTCCGATCTACTGCCTTTGAGGCTGCCAGTACCAGCGGTGGCTCAGGTACAATTGAGGATACAGCTACTCCTGCTGACCTTCCCAGCGTGTCGGAGTATGTAGGTCAATGTTTGACCAAGAGCGACAGACCTGACTTGGCCAGTGCTAAGGTGACGCCCAAACCTTTTCCTTTTTAAAATAAAGGGCGAGTAAAAAAATTGTGATCAGCGGCGTCTGATGCAAAATTGTACCTTTTTTGTGCAACTCTTTTGTATAATATCCTTTCAATATTTTTTGAACATTTTTATAATTTTTTTGGTACTTCATTGGTCAAAAAGTCAAAATCTAAAGTTCAGAAAAACAAAAATGTGTAGATATTTTATGTCTATCAAATTCTAGAATTTAATAAAGATTGACACACAGAAAGGACAAGTTTTTTTTAAATCCTCTAGTTCCTTTCTTTTTGTATATTCTAAAGTTATAAATATACGCTTTTCAGTTGTAAACTGAGGAGACATCGAATAACTACTTTTCTTTAAAGTTTTAAACCAGAACTGAAAATAGCTAATTTTCTTAAAACAATTTTGCGAATTTTCTGTGTTTCTGTTATTCAATGTTTACAAAATTTTAGAATGACTCACCCTGTAGTTTTTTTTTCTTCCAGAATTCGATTTTTTCTTTTGATGCAGAGAGATGCTTTGGAGAATATTTTTATTTAAAAAATTCTATAATGTCCGATTATTTACTTCTATATATATACTTTGGTTGTCTGTCAGTTTGTTTGTATCTAATAAATGTTAAAACGGCTGAACCGATCGGGCCCAAACTTTGTGTGGGACCTCACATGACCCGGCCCAGGGTCCAGGGAAGGTTCATGGATGATCAAAATTTCAAATATTAGTCTCTCAACAAAATTCGATTTTCATTATTTGAAAACCCACGAAATTCTTGTCATAAAATCCTCCAACTTTTTTGTTTTTGTTCTACAATGTATGCTAAGAGAAAATGTTCACAGTTGAAATAGAAGATGGGAGCTAAAAGCTTAGTTTTCATAAAATTTACATAACATAACATTATCTTGAATATTGTTTTGTGAAAGGGGAAAGATTTTTTTATTGTATTCAAAAACAAAAGCAATTTCGTACTAAGATATAATTTGAAATTTATTGTTTAAAATGGAATACTCAGGGACGTATACAGGATTGAATTCTGTGAGGAGGGGGGGCGGGGTGGAGAGGGGGTCTGGTTTTGAGGTATATGGAGGGGGATGTAATTTCTGGGGGGCTGGTCTGCCCTCAAGCCCCACCTGCCTGTTTATATCACTTATACTTATAATTGATCTTTTTAAAGGTTGTAATAAGTGGAGGAAGAGGAATGAAGACTGGAGATAATTTCAAGATGTTGTACGATCTTGCTGACAAGCTAGGAGCTGCTGTCGGAGCTTCAAGAGCTGCAGTTGATGCAGGTTAAGCATTTTGATTAATTGTTTTTCATTTGACAAACTGTTTCTCACGCGTTACTTGACCATGGACTTGTGTTTTAAATTTAGCTTATTAACCAAGCAGTTAGTGCTTAGGATCCATTTAATTATTATCCGGAACCTGGATCCACCAAGAAAAAAAATGGATCCCCGATCCAGGAACATTAATTTTTAAATTATTTTTTTCTCACTTTTATTCATGCCAAAACGGGTCCTAAGCACTGAAGGTAATTTAAGTTTTATTCTTTATAACAAATACATTAATGATTATTAAACTAATTACTCCAGTGGGAATGAACAAATTTTACCAAATGTATTAAATCGTGTTTAGCAACTGTTAGAACCTTATCTCTGAATCTAAGAGTAAAATCCTCTATAGTAGACTAAACCATTACCCAGCTGTGATGCAGTGGTTCGAAATTCGGGGCATTCCACAATTTGCACTAAATAACGGATGGGAAAACTTAAGTTTGGGATGGCGCTTATCTTCAGAGACTGCGTAAACTTTTAAATGAAAAGGTTAATTAAAAGTCGGGGAGTGTTTTCCTTGGCAACATCTAGCCAATAAATAGGGTACCCCTTTGTAAGGTGAAACCGTCTCAGCGCAGATTTACAAAAGTTGTATTCTGTCTAGGTATGGTTCCCAACGATATGCAGATCGGTCAAACTGGAAAAATTATTGCCCCTGAGCTTTATATTGCTGTTGGTATATCTGGAGCTATCCAGCATCTAGCAGGGATGAAGGACAGCAAGGTTATTGTTGCCGTCAACAAGGACGCAGAGGCACCAATCTTCCAGGTAAACTAAAAGTTTATATATCTGCCTTTATAGTAGACAGTTTCGAAAGTGGTGCTTCATGCGAAGATGGTATTACCCGTTAATGTGGAAGATATTGTCGTTTTATACTTTATAGGTTTAGAAACTTTGATTTCTGATCATTTCTATGTTTTTATGTAGTAGAAATGCGCAATTCACTTGTAGAGAAACCACTAATGAAAAAAATCAGTTTTCAAAATTCGAAACATTATTATCTAATTCCCTCGAGTTTTCCCAGAAAACTAACTTGGGAATCTCCATTTATTTTCTAACTATTTTTTAAGCCTTTGGAAATATATATATTTCAACTGAAATATTAAATAACACACTGAAAAGCTAAGATATTTTGCAAGAATCATTTTATAAAATCATTGAATTTTTAAATGGCGAGAAGCCGAACAATTGCATATTTTAATATCACTTGTCAGTTTTTAAACATTTTAATTGAAAGCTTGATGATGTCACTCAAGTCGCATGTTTACTGGGACACTATGTAAATAAAATAAAATAATTTATATATTCAGTGTTTTTCTATTAAAAGAATGTAAAATTTCTTTTATATTTTAAATCCAATTTCTAGGTTGCAGACTATGGCCTTGTAGCGGATCTGTTCAAAGCTGTTCCAGAGATGACAGAGAAAATTTAAAATTATCGTTTAATTTAAAATATTTAAAATTGGAGAATGGACTTATATAAAATAAAAAACAAAATGTTATTAAAAATATATGTGATACATAGTCAACTTAAAATGATGTGGAAACCTAAATGTTCAAACCGAAGCAATGCAAAGGATTTTTTCTTGTTAAAATCTGGCTTAAGCGTGTTGTAATAATTGGTCAAGCTCTGACGTAAGAAGTGCTACCTATGCGGTCAATACGTTCTCTGGACTGGTCCGGCCGGTACAGAACTGAACCGTGGCAGAACCTTGAACCAGTCTTGATATGCTCATTTTGTGACTGCCAGTAGACAGAGCAAATGTGAATGGTTAACACGAAAGAAAGATTTGTAAACCTACTTTACTTATTTGTTTTAAATCATCAAATCCACTTAATAATTGAAGACTATCGTCTAACGACCTCTGAGTTCCTGTAGTAAATAGATTTTTTAGTTTTGGGAACAAATGTAAAACATACAAGTTGCAACATCCCTGATAAACCAAACCAAATAATATCACGTAATTTTAGTTTCAGAACAAAAGACGTGTATGTTTAAACATAGCTTGTCGCTATAACGATATTTACATCAAAATTTAAGTTTAACAAGTGTAAAGGAGAAGAGGATGAAAGTAGAAAATGTTACGAGTTCACGGAATGCACTCAGATCAGTTTTCTCCTGTAGAAACTCAAGATACGGAGCAAACCAAGAAACTTCAGAGGTTAAACTTTATCTCTGTAATTCTATCGAAAATAGAAGTTTTTTAGAAACATGCGACGGGGGGGGGGGTCCGTATTAAAAATATAATTGTTTTTTCGATTGAAGCCCTGTCATGTCAGCGTTTTCAATTGATTTTTAAATTGTCCAACGCCTATTTTGTTATGCCTCTGTACGATTTTTAGAAGTTTAAAAGAGAATATTTAATCTTATGGTGTATTTTAGATTTCATGGTGTAACTCCTTTTTAAACTGAACGCCATCTTTAATGCAATTATGATCTTATGTATTTAAACTAAGACTAAAGTTTGTCCACCTCTACATCATGGGGCCCGTCCTAGTACACGATTTTTGGCCCCCCTCCTACCAATTTTGTACATTACTTGTACCGAGCGTTACGGCCCAGGACAGACCTATTTCAAAAAATTAGTATACAGTTAGGGTTAAGCCGGGTTGATAAAATTTCTGGGCCGAGTGATGCGACTAGGACAGGCTAGTGGGTCGAACGCTGTGGCTAGGGGGCCGGGCGCTGCGGCCAGATGACCAACTTTATCCATGTATTCAATATGAGATTCATGCATGTACAAAAATGATAGGGGAGGGCGGGGGTCCTTAAATAGTTCTCTAGAAATGTTTCCAACGCTATATGGAAAATTCATAATAATACATAACGATTGATATAAATTTCTCAATCCAGGAATGTCTCTGAGTTGGTTCGCCGGATTGATAGTTTGCATCAGAGTGCAGTTAAGGTTCGAGATGTGCTTTCCGAGGAGGGTTTAGACCTCAGGGTTCGGCTCCGGGAGTATTGTTTCAAGCTTCTTCACACTGATCCAGGTAGCGTAAATTATTAAGTATGATGTGAAATTTCTCATGATTTATTTTTAGTCATATAAATAAATAAAAAGCATGAAACTCCATAAAATGTCCTTTAATATCTAACATCTTATATGAATATACATTTTTCTACTTGATACAGTGATAATCAGAAAACTCTGGAATAAGAAGTCGACTGTTAAGACTGAAGTTATGACTGTAAATAAGCCAATGAACATGAGAAACAGCAATTGTGCAGTGTAAACAGACCCATTTTACTTAATAATTGGTTTAATAACTTATTAGTAAAGCTTTTCCTTTGTGACATCGTCTTACTATTCTACAGTTTTCTGGATATCACTGTAGTTTGTTACATTTATTATAACTTTTCTATTTTTACAGAACGGTTTGGGTTAAAGTACATTGAGATCTTGTGGAGAAAGGCGTGGCACGAACCTGTATCCCTGGCCAGACAATTTGGAGGCGGAGCAGTCCTACTTGACTCCCACCTTCTCGCCGGTATAGGACAGTTCCACAACCTTCTCCAGGGGTTGTCAGAACAGTACGGGAGCATGACCGGGTTCAAGGTAGAGTTCATGTTGCACCAGGAATACGGCTATTCGGCAGGGAAGCAGAAGAAGCGCACTGCGGAGCAGTGGATGGTGGAAATCGGTGCTCGATGTCTTTTATGGCTTGGAGATTTATCCAGATACAGGATCGATATCCTATCGGACAAGGAGAAATTGCGCGCGGAAGTACTGGCGCGCAAATATTATTCTCAATCCACTAAACTCAAACCGAGTTTAGGGCTGGCATACAACCAGCTGGCTGCTGTACCCGGAGCTGAGAACAAAGGGATAGATCAACTCTTTTTCTATCTTAAGTGTGTGACAAGCAAGGAGAAGTTTGAAGGCGGAGAGACGAACCTGAAACGAATGCTAGAAAAGACGGAGATGGAGGCGAATAATCTGGCGGCGAAGAGCGTACACGAGGTTTCCTCCGTATACCTGGCACAGCTTGTCTCGGCTGTGCTGGGGGAAAAGAACGAGGACGATATCATCCTCTCTTGTCAACAGAGTCTGTCCTCTATTCATCAGGCGACCAGCGCAGGTTCAGTTCCTGCCACCTGGCTCCTCCGAACCACAGCATGTGTTATTCTTCTCATTGTTAAACTTGGTGGGAACAATACTGCTAGCGTGAGGGTGGGATTATGTCAGGCCTGGTTACTTGCTCTGACCTCGCACCTGGCAGGATTAATCATCTCCGGCCTCGGGAAAGGTCTTTGGGGAGATGGTTGGACCGAGTCCTCCATTAGTTTAGAGGACAGCTCGGAGGCAGAAGATACGCCTCCTCCGGCGGAGAAAAAGAAGCGGAAGAAACTGACGGATTTGTTGAGACGGAAACGAGTTTCTCACTCCGGAAGTAGTGATGAAAGTGATATCTCAGATGACGAAGAGGTTGAAGATGAAAGTGAATCGGACGAGTTTGTATCAGAATCTGACGAGGACGAAATATATTTCTCTGATAGCGACGAGGATTCGGATGACAGTGATGTGGTGGTTGAGAGTATAGAATCCGAGCTACCTGATACCTGTAAGGTGGTTGAGGTATGTAAAGAACTAGGATATCTACCTGCCCTCACACTCTGCTGTATGTGGTTAAAGGTGCAGCCTGATGTACTCTCTGGTATGGGTGATGGAGGTACACAGCTATGGAACAAGCTGGCCAGGGTCTTCACCCTCCTAAACCTCAACTCCAACAAGTACACAAAGAACCTTAAGATTTCTAGACTCATGACCAGAAATGCCGGATGTGCGCTTGAAGAAGACTTCTATCTTAGAGAAATCGAAATTTTTGGAGATCAATTGAAAAGTACAGATTGGAACACGGAGCCAGCTAAATCAGGGTTTGGAGAAACTGTTGCTAGAATGGTCAGAATGGAAGGATGGAGAGATTGGTTGGTTGGGAGAGAGGAATGTTTGATTAGATGGAGAGAAGGAGAAGGAAGAGCAGTTCTAGTTAAATCCTCTTTACCTGAGAAGAAGTGTGTGATGAAGCACATGGCAGAGCTATGGCTTAAGGAGGAGGTTTCCAACTTGGAGAAGAACAATCCCGAGGTCTGTACCATCATTATTGACGCGCATGCGCTCACTACCGACCTCAACATGGTGAAGAGAGTTGCGGGATATAAGAAGTTCACCGTTATTGTACCTCAGATTGTCATCAAGGAGTTGGACTTCATCAAAAAGCAAGTCAGGTAGAAATTCTTCGTATTTATAAAACTTCTCTTAACTATTCGTTTATCTGACACTAAATTTTCAAAACAGCTGCATCTTATATTTTTTCTTAATCCTATGATACTTTTGGATCTATTTCACATCTTTGTAGTTTTTACGCATTCTAAAATCTTTTTGCTTAAGAATAATCTTAATCTTTTAAACTCTTTTCATAAGATAACATTTTTTTGTAGGGAGGCACGACTTGCAATCCGTTGGTTAGAACGGGAGATGAGTAGAGGACACGCCGGCCTCCAACCTCAAGAGAAGGACGAGAAAGCAAAGATTTCTCTTCCTGCTCCGGGGCGCAAAGACGCAGGCTGGGCGCGCTACAGTGTGCTCGAGTGCGTAGCGTTCTTCGCCGCGTCACAGGAAGTTGTTTTACTTAGCGGAGACCCAGAGATATTGGAACATAGGGATACACAAACTCTCCAGGTAGGATTCAGCCTATGGGGGATCTAAGACTCCTGTACCATATGAAAATTTGAAAAATTTGAAAAAGCATACTTCTGAGAAAATAATCGTTGAAAACAACTCTATTTGAATGATAAATATTTACAAAAACATGAAAGATGTAAAATTTTAGTTAATTTGGAACGATAACCAAGACATTTGCAGTTATTGAAAAGTTAGCAAGTTTAAAGCTTTGTAAACTAAAACTTTATTTATTTTTTTTATTTTAATTTAACTTTTACCAAAGAGTGTCTTCCAAGCTTATTCGTTAATGGAACCGAAGCTTTACGTTTTTCAAAAGTTTTTAAACCCCGACACAAGTAAAGTATGTATTTAAATAGATACCATCTATATATATACTTTGGTTGTCTGTCTGTCTGTTTGTTTGTTAGTTTTGGTGTTTGTTTGTGTATTTGTTTGGTTGTCTGTCTGTATCCAATAAACGTCAAAGCGTCTGGACCTATCGGACCCAAATTTTTAGTGAGACAACACATGACCCAAGGGAAGGTTCATGGATGTTCAAAATTTCAAAAATTAACCTCTAACAAAATTTGATTTTCATTAAATAAAAAAATCAAGACATTTTTTTGTATAATCCGCGAACTTTTGTTCATTGTTTTATAATGTAAATTAAAATATTCTATATATACTTTGTCTTAAAAATACGATAACAGAGAAACAATTAAAAGTTAACAATGGAAGTCTACAGGTTATGGTGCTTTGTCCGTAGGTTGAATAATAATAATAGTATTTATAATGTTTATATACTCTATGTCAGGTTCTCTCTGATCTCGGAGTAAGGGTGGAGAATGTGGAGGACTTTATGCAGAGGTTTCTAGGACTCAGGGATGTTGTTAGGGAAAGAAAAAGGTGAAGCTTTAAAGAAAAAAGAACTACATTAATCCAATGGGTTTAAAGTTTTCTCTTATCTGTTTAATACAACGTAGGAAAAGTAATTTTCTTTATATTTTCATTTTTGAAAATTTTAAAGATTGAAGATTTATTGAATGTTTTTTATGTTTATTCCCTATTCCTTGGCAGTCATTTACTTTCCGGAGACCATCATTAATATCATCCTAATCATTGTTTAGGTCCGGAGAGGGTATCCGACATAGATCTGGAGATGGTTCAAAACAGGGTAGAGCTTGGAGAAGGCATGGTAGGGATAGGAGAGGAGACAGGAAGGATGTTACAGGCTGAACCCTCGGATCAAAAAACTGAACCATGGGTTAAATCTAATCCGAGTAAGGCGAGCTATTTGGGTCAGCCTAGCGCTCTACTCAGGTTAGTTTTAAACTTTAGTTTTTTATCAATATTGTACAAGGTTGTCCACAAAAAATTATGCTTAAAATTTTTGGCTCACTGCAGTAGCTTGGAACAAGATTTATTATTATTATTCATTTGATGGGAGTGTTCGCGCGAAAAATTAAAGGGGGTATAGCCTTACGGCGAAAATTAAGCGCTTTTGGTCGCTACTAATCTTACTTCTATATGTTGCGTCCACTCAAATTCAGAAAGTTGCAACATTCAACTTGGATCGTAAAAAAATAAATTTTAACTAAATAAAAAATATTAATTTGCTATATTTGAGCTGATTCTGCAGAGTTTGATCCGTCATCACAATCCAGGGAAAAACTAAATAAAAAATATTATTAAATATTAACTATATACGAATGCGTCGAAAAATAATCGATGACTATTGGTTGTAATATCTGAATGATTTTTTTGGTATTAAATTAATTTGTTACGATCCGAGGTGAATGTTACAACTTTTTGAATATGTACGGACGTAGCGTTTTTCAGCATGAGTCGTTTTTGAACAATCTTTCCTTATAGACGCATCATAAAGAGGTAAGATTAGTAGCGATCAAAAGTGCTTTTTTTTTAGCGAACACTCCCTGTAAGGTCATCGTCATAAAGTGTTATTGTGGTTAAACTTTCCTGATTTCATTTTCATTTTAAAATTTCAACGCAGTTAAAAATTATCTATTTCTTCCAATCATATTTAAAGATTTAAAATGATTTCCGGATATCAATATATGATTTTTGTACGGTCGTCCAAAAAGAATAATCTGGTTACTATTCAAATACCGATTTATGCACTTTACAGGCTCCCCCCCCCCCCCTTGAGGCTCAAATCTCAGTATTTAGATTTAGTGCCGGATGGGTCGAGTGACTTATCGACTGACTATGGACAGAAAAAGACTTTTCAAAATTAAATAATTAATATTATTATTTTTTTTAGAACAGCTTGGGAGTATTAACTCTCGATCCTTTTGAATCTGACTGAAGACATGGAAGGATTAACTCGCCTCTCAAAACAACGGTGTTCCACCGTGAATCACGGTTATCTAGTTCATGATATCCTGTTCCATGATAGTGGTGTTCCACCATCAAGCATGAGTATCCAGTTCATAATAACGATGTTCTACCATCAATCACAGATATCCAGTTCACAAAAACGATGTTCTACCGTCAAGCTAGATATCCAGTTCATAATAACGGTGTTCTACCATCAAGCATGGATATCTAGTTCATAATAACGGTGTTCTACCATCAAGCATGGATATCCAATTCAAAAGAACTGTGTTCAACCATCAAGCATGGATATCCAGTTCATAATAGGAGTTTCTACCATAAAGCGTAGATATCCAGTTCATATTAACTGTGTTCTACCATCAAGCATGGATATCCAGTTCATAATAACGGTGTTCCATCATCAAGCATGGATATCCAGTTCATAATAGGAGTTTCTACCATAAAGCATAGATATCCAGTTCATAATAACTGTGTTCTACCATCAAGCATGGATATCCAGTTCATAATAACGGTGTTCCATCATCCAGCATGGATATCTAGTTCATAATAACGGTGTTCCATCATCAAGCATGGATATCCAGTTCATAATAACGGTGTTCCATCATCAAGCATGGATAACTAGTTCACAATAGCTGTGCCCTACCATCAAGCATGGATATCCAGTTTTTAATAACTGTGTTCTACCATCAAGCATGGATATCAAGTTTACAATAACTGTGACCTATCACCAAGCATGGATATCCAGTTTACAATAACTGTGACCTACCACCAAGCATGTAAATGTCCCCCGCAGTTTATCAATCCCTGAATCAGACCTGCCCTGTATACCATTACAGTCGATGCTCTGCAATCCCAGAGGATTAACTTGTTTTGTCGATTTTAAGAATTATGTCGATTTAAACATTAAGTCGCAAATTTTTTTCAAATGCTAAGTTTCTAAATTAATGTTTTTTTTATAAAATGATTGTGTGTGTTTCCCCATATATAATGATTATATATATTTGACGAAGAAAATTACAGAAATTCTGTATTTTTTTACTCGTGGTTTTTTTTTAATGGGCGTAACTTAAAATAAATAATTTTTTCACTAATTGTTTTATTAAATTATTAAATTAATTTATCAAGATCGATGTAATTAAAAAAATGAGAGAAATATATACAACGACGTCAACATCTTATAAAGCTGACTTATTATTTTTTTTTTAAATTGTTTTAAAACTTAAAGTTTGCTGTTATCAAATTTTCCAATATTTTTATCCGACAAAAAAGGAAAGTTTTCAACACGTTTTTTGCATATATTTTCCAATAGGGGCAAAGATTGGCAGAGAAAATCCCTCCAAAACGAGCCAACCAAGGAGTATTAAATTGAAGGGAGATACAACTGACGTGGCCCGCCCTACCATATGATTATTCAATACATGCTTTGCAGACTACTTCATTTGTATAAGAAATATTTAGAATAGGTTATTGTATACGCGGTAATTGTAGATCGTGACAATTAATAATGTGCACGAAACTAATTTTTCAGGTTTGGTGATGTGTATAAAAACATCAACTTTTAAAACAATATCCACTTTCAAACTTGATATTTTAAACTTGCATATAAGGTTTTTAAAGTATATAATTCACATAATAAAACTTGTACATGGAAACTATCAACAAAATTTCAATTTTTATACAGGGTGTCTCACATCATACAGTGAAGCCCTTAATAACGAATACATCGGAAGAATTTATCGAATGTCGTCTTGACAAGTTTTCAATGAGTTTTATTCTATATTACGTAAATTTCAGTGTTTGCAAAAATAAGTAAATATCCATGAATGTGCGGTAACAGTTTTAAAGAGTTCCATATAATCTTTTAATTAAAAAATTAAATATCTGCAACATTCCATTATCAGAAAGTGAAGAATACGACATTTGATGAATTCTTTCGATGTATTCTTTATTAAGGGTTTCACTGTATAAGATCGTTAACAGCTTTAAATTGAGATTTAAGGGACTTATCAGAAAGAATGTTAAAAAATGTAAAGGGCTAATGTAAAACTATTCTTACAGAAAATATTAGGTTTTCGAGTTGTGAGTATTTTGGCGTTAAAGCGTAAAGATGATGTAATATGATTTGGGACGCTCTGTAGTTAATTGCCGTTTTCAAACTATATAATTCCTAATTCAGATCATTCCTTCGATTTCTTCACCTCTTACTCGAAAGTGAATATTTAAGAAAATTCGCATCAAAGTGCAAATTAGAACCCTAAAAATGTTTGCATTCATAGTTATTTACAGGATACGAAAATACAGTCAATGTGATTTGTGATTACAATTGGGTATAAAACAAGAAAGATAAGAAAGCCTTTATTTGATCGAGTTTGTTATTGCCAGAAATGAGTAGAAAATTGAAATCAAACCAAACTAAAATCCATAATTTAATTTTTTTAAATGTGGTAAAAATCGCCAATAGGAAAAATGAAAGGGGGTATATTTTGTATGGAAATGGTAGGTCTTAACAGATCATTTTCAGCAAATACGCAACCAATCTGAAAACGAAGATATCCCCGAGAAACCTAGCTTAGGGTTGCTCCAATTATTATATATAATTATTATTATTATTAATAGATATAATTGATAATATTATTTATAAGTCCGTCATCAGAACTCACACCATTGCTAAGAGTTCTGCTGCATACATATATGAATTTTCGCATTAAATTGACACCGTTTTATAACAATTTCTCGAGACAGGAACATCAGATATAATTTTCATGGGTCGCGATCAAGAGCTAATTTGATTAGCTTTCAGCCTATACCCTCATACATTTTTCCTTTACAGTAAGTTTAATTGAAGTAATAGACAAAATACTGCTCATTTTTCCGTGAGAGCGTAGGTATATCCTAGTTTGCGGAGATCCCTTGATAAGGATCCGGATTATGATGACCCAATGACCCATATATGAAAAAAAAATAAGATTATGAATTTATTCTTCTGCAAGAACTGCCTGCCCTGCATAATATGTGTATATTAGACTAAAAAAACAAAGTGTTTAACATTCAGGAACTTGTCCAGGGAAGGGGCTTAAATTTTTTTTCCTTTCCAGGGGGTGGCTTTGGAAGGTTTCACTGGTCCAGGAGGGGGGCTGAGCCCCCATAGCCCCCCTCTCGAATATGCCTCTGTTCAGAAGTTTTCGTAATAGTGAGTAGCCGAGCTGCAGCTTGGATTTTCAAGTGAAAAACTCGTTAATCTACAGGGTGTCCCAATAAACATGGGAATTCAGTGACGAATTCGATATCGTCTTTTTAAATAATATTAAATAATAATACCTACTGAGAAAGCTCTAATCTGTAAGACTATCGTCTGCTTTGTTTACATTTTGTTTGTTTATGTTTTGACTGCATACGGTTGTACTTAGTAAAGCAAGAAAATTGCAGTATACAAACAGAGTAAACTTGTCCGCCTTCACTGTTCATCTTGCGGAGACATTTTAGACACAACTTTGCAGTCTTTTACCCTTTTCATAAAATAAGCTCTAGCAGAAATAATAATATTATGGCTTTTGAAATTAGGTATTACAATGCTAATTCATAACAAAGACGATATCCAATTCGTCACTGAATTCCCATGTTTTTTGGGACACCCTGTATGTAGATGGTCCAGTTCTGAAATTTTTTAACTTAAAAAATACGTATAATGATTTATAGCTTTGATCTGGTTCCAGTACGTCAGGAAAGAACTTTTTCTCTTTACTTCTAAACACACGTATGTGTGTATTAGATGATATGTCGTTTATTGCCTATATTTTCTTTCCTGGTCGAAATTTGTCATAATGTAAAGTTAAACCCTAAATGAGCCAGACATCGAAAGAATTTATCAAATGTCGTCTTGACAATTTACTATGGGTTTTATACTATTACGTAAATCTCAGTATTTGCGAAAATAAATAAATGGCCATGAATATGCGGGAACAGTTTTAAAGAGCTCCATATAATCATTTAAATAAAAAACTAAATATCTGCAGCATTCCATTATCAGAAAGTGAAGAATACGACATTTGATGAATTCTTTCGATGTATTTAATATTTAGGGTTTAACTGTATAAAGAGAAGAAGTTTTCTAAATTGTTTATTTCTCACATATGCAAAAATCACACAATATGCAAAAATCACACAATATGCAAAAATCACACAATATGCAAAAATTACACAAGGCAAAAATCACACAAAAGGCAAAAATTACACAATATGCAAAAATCACACAATATGCAAAAATTACACAATATGAAAAAACACACTAGGCAAAAATCACACAATAGGCAAAAATCACACAATATGCAAAAATCACACAATATGCAAAAATTACACAAGGCAAAAATCACACAATAGGCAAAAATTACACAATATGCAAAAATCACACAATATGCAAAAATTACACAATATGAAAAAATTACACAATAGGCAAAAATCACACAATATGCAAAAAACACACAATAGGCAAAAATCACACAATATGAAAAAACACACAATAGGCAAAAATCACACAATATGAAAAAAAAAACACACAATAGGCAAAAATTACACAATATGCAAAAATTACACAATATGCAAAAATCACACAATATGCAAAAATTACACAATAGGCAAAAATCACACAATTTGCAAAAATCAAACTCTAGTCAAAAATCGGCCTAAATAAGATGCAATGAACGAAAGTGTTGTGATGATCGTTTATGCAGCAGTTTTCCGTTTTAAAACTTTTTTTAGGATAAAGATATTGCAAAGTTATATAAAAGTAAACTTAAACACAATTATTGAGCTTAAAGGGGGGGGGCCTCGAAATGTGGCAGTAAGAACCAGGCCGAGTTGGCTTCCCGGGGAAAGGAGGGATATTTAATTCCAAAGCAACGGTCCCGGGCAACTTAAGTTCTCAGGTTGGCAATTGTTCATAGGCTTCCCACGAATTCTTCTCTAATCCATAGACGATAATATCAGTAAAGACTTGAATTTCAATCCTAGAAATAAATATGAATAAACAATGATTATTACTAGGGTTAGATTATGCAATGTTTACGATAATTATTTTTATTATGAAATGAAATGTTTAATAATCTGCATCAAGTGTTTTATCCTTAATCAATAGGTTTTCGGTTTATTTTCAGATTTAAATTGCTTGTTAAAATACTTAATTACAGAAATTTTTGATAAAACTTTTTGTTCTGGATGAATGCAAATACCTATCTAAAACTTTCTTAGACCGGCATATTTCTTCTAAATTCATTTAGTTAAGAGTTTGAGTCAAAATCAGTGATAATGAATTGTGCTTTATATCGAGTAGATATCCTTAATTATATCGAGTAGATATCCTTAATTATATCGATGTAAACCTCTCTGAAAGTAGGAAAGATTCTGAAAAAAGTTGCCAAACCAAAGAGAATTGTTATTTTGAAAAAAAATATTTATTGTTGTCAATATATAAAGTTAACATTAACATTAACGTTAACATTAAAATTAACATTGAGTTTAAACCATTCATTTAAGTATATTGTTGTCAGTATAAAGTTAACATTAACATTAACATTGACTTTAAGCAATTCATGAAAGTTTATGATTGTCAGTAATTAAAGTTAACATTAACATTAACATGAACATTAACATTAACATTGACTTTAAGCAATTCATGAAAGTTTATGGTTGTCAGTAATTAAAGTTAACATTAACATTAACATTAACATTGACTTTAAACAATTCATTAAAGTTTATGGTTGTCAGTATATAAAGTTAACATTAACATTAACATTAACATTGACTTTAAGCAATTCATTAAAGTTTATGGTTGGCAGTAATTAAAGTTAACATTAACATTAACATTAACATTAACATTAACATTAACATTGACTTAAAACAATTCATTAAAGTTTATGCTTGTCAGTATATAAAGTTAACATTAACATTAATATTAACATTGACTTTTCAATTCATAAAAGTTTATGCATGTCAGTGTAAAAAATGTATAAAAAGTTAACATTAACATTAACATTGACTTTCAACAATTAATTGAAGTTTATGGTTGTCAGTATATTAAACATACCTAAATGTTAATTTCTATGTTAGCATTAACATTTGTATGTTAATATTAACATCAATTAAATTAATAAATAAGATCAATGGTCTCATATCGTGCCTAGTATCTTATAGCATTTAGTTAAAGTATCAGGCAGATATTAGACACTCTATGGGTTAATATGAAATTTCATATTTTTCTCTTTTAAAATGTACATTTTTAAACGAAAAGTCATCTAAGATTACAACTACCAGTTTCTTTTTATGTCAAGACTATCCCATCCCTGCTGAACAGGCTTTTTCATCTTAGATTTAAAAGTTAATTTTAACAGCAAAATAGTAGTTTTAATTTTATGCTTATGTGTAAAGCTTAAAGAAATTGAGTCTTTACCACAAACTATAATTTTCTAATCCCTTTATCTTTGCATGGATCAATGTCGTAGACATAATGATATTTCAAACTTTGATGATTTCTGTTAGATCAAATAATATTAGTCTGAAATATCAAAGGTTTACACCATCAGGTCTCAAAGATAATAGGGATTAGAAAATTTGAGTTTGTGGCAATTAGGTTGAATTCATTACTTTGCTTGTTTCCCTGGTAACAGTAACTTTCTTCCTGCGTGCTACAATTGTGTGCGTGTGAGCGCGTATATTTTAAGGCAACATTGTGCCCCCCCCCTTAAAAACCCTTTTTTTGAAAAAATATTGGTACCCTTTTAACTATAATGTAAACTATTCGATCATATACACACTTCCTTATAACATCTGCTAATAAGTTATTTATGTAATTTTCTTAAGTGGACTCATCGGACACTCCCTCTTTTAATACTGTGGTGTAAGCTTCAATGGGTAAAAAATAGAGATGGAAACGTTTCTTAAAAATATCTATATTTTCATAGAAACGATACATATTGTATAATTATAAAAAATGATATCAAAGATATATTTATACTGAAGGCAGTATTGATGAAAGCTTTTTTATTGAAACTTTTTAGTTAAGGAATAAAGTGAGATTTTAAAGTATTTTTTAATGGGTGACCCCCCCCCCCCTTCGTACGTCACTGAAGAAAGTTGAAAAAGGGGGAATATTGGGGGGGGGGGGATTTTAACATCGAAAGAAAGTTGAAAAAACAATTTATGAGTAGATCGAGCATGCTTAATGAATATAAAGAAACGAATAAGGATAGTGAAAGAAGAATTTGGAAGAATGGGATGAAACAAGGAAAATGGGGGATGTAGAAAAAATAGAAAAATGGGAATGAGCCACAAAATAAATTTTTCTAATGCCTAAATCTTTGCAACCTGATGTATACCTTTGACAATTCAAACTTATAGATTATTTGATCTAACAGAATTCAAAGTTTGAAATATCTAAGGTCTACAACATTAGGTTGCTCAGCATATATAGGGATTAGAAAATCTGTGGTTGTTGCATTTCCTTTAAAAATTAAAAAATTTAATCAATGATATAAATGGGATAAAAATGAAGTAACAGGGTTGCAGAAATATATTTTTCTTGGATAAAATTTTGGAAAGTTAAAACAAAGCCCAAGGTAAAAAGAAAAGTCTGGTTTGAATGCAAAATTTAAATGTTCATTATTATTATTGCAAAAAGCTGAGGCGTTGTCAGTTTATAAAGTTAACATTAACATTAACATTGACTTTAAGCAATTCATGAAAGTTTATGGTTGTCAGTATATAAAGTTAACATTAACATTAACATTAACATTGACTTTAAGCAATTCATTAAAGTTTCTAAGAGTTCTGCTGCATACATATATGAATTTTCGCATTAAATTGACACCGTTTTATAACAATTTCTCGAGACAGGAACATCAGATATAATTTTCATGGGTCGCGATCAAGAGCTAATTTGATTAGCTTTCAGCCTATACCCTCATACATTTTTCCTTTACAGTAAGTTTAATTGAAGTAATAGACAAAATACTGCTCATTTTTCCGTGAGAGCGTAGGTATATCCTAGTTTGCGGAGATCCCTTGATAAGGATCCGGNATCTTAATCCAATATCTAGTAGATCTTAATCCAATATCTAGTTGATCTTAATCCAATATCTAGTAGATCTTGATCCAATATCTAAAAGATTTTAATCCAATATCGAGTAGATCTTAATCAATCAAATATCTAGTAGATCTTAATCCAATATCTAGTAGATCTTAATCCAATATCTAGTAGATCTTAGTCCAATATCTAGTAGATCTTAATCCAATATCTTGTAGATCTTAATCCAATATCTAGGAGATCTAAATCCAGTATCTAGGAGATCTTAATTCAATATCTAGTTGATCTTAAGCTAATATCTAGGAGATCTTAATCAATCCAATATCTAGTAGATCTTAATCCAATATCTATAAGTTGATCTAAATCCAATGTCTAGTAGATCTTAATCCAATATCTAGTAGATCTTAATCCAATATCTAGTAGATCTTAATCCAATATCTAGTAGATCTTAATTCAATATCTAGTAGATCTTAATCCAATATCTAGTAGATTTTAATTCATATATAGTAGATTTAATTCATTTTTTAATAGTTTTGAATCTGTAATGCCTAGAAGATTTTTAAAGAAAAAAAGAATTAAAAAAACAAGAATATATTAATACATATTAGTAAAATATTTGGTACAATGGTAAATAAATAATAAATAAGATAAGTAGATAAATCCAATATTTAGTAATTTTTTCCGATAGCTAATAAATCTACTATTAAGTAGATCTTAAACCGCGCAAATTTTTAAATGTGAAGTTCAAGCATTCAACCGTTTTCCTGTTACCAAGTCAGGTTTTATAACTTAGAAGGTGTATCAGAAGACCAACGAAAAAGCACTGGGTGGTTCACAATTAATCCTTCATTCTGGAAAGAAATAAAAAATAATCGAATTAATTTTTTAGTCTTACAGTTAAGCCATCGGCATGAAACATGCATTGCAATGCATATACAAAGGGTATTTTTTTTTAGGTTTTTACGTTGCTAAATGAGGGGTAAAGGAATGTTAAGAAATGCTTGCATTTTATCTCGTTTTGATTTTCGTTATATGGATTAGTGTGAATTTTTGAGAAAAAAATATACAAAAAACTTGTAAACATTAAAACCCAAATCCTATATTAATTTTCTCAAAGATTTTTAGAACTCAATGAGTAAGGAGAATGGGAAGAATAGAAATTGAGGAAGGAGGATGGGATTGGATTAAAATGAAAAATTTACTGAACATTTTTATTTAAGTAGATTGAATTCCATATTCATAGAGAAAGTAAAATTCTTCTTCTTTTAAGAGAAATAAGATTGTTTAGTCAATATCAATGAGACTGCAGTGTGCGCATTTCTACATCAAAAATAATTTTTTGGTTAAAATCCTGGAGACTTTCTAGTTTTTTATAGTTTTTCTATTAATATGCATACATTTATACAATATTTGTCTTTAATTCTAGCTCAAAAAATACTAAAACGGCTGAACACGCTGGATTTAGCACAGAGAAAAGAGATTTTTATGTATTGATCCAAATAAAATTGTTGTTTTTTAAACTTAGCTGAATATCTTGAGAGCAAAAATCGTTTAAAATTTAGAGAAATTATCACCAAAAAGAAGAGTTTGTCTGAAAGTGTAAGAATAATGAAAAGTTTAAATAAACAACCTGTAGAAACCCCACCTTCTTTATTATATCTGCTCTCCTACGTCTCTTTCCCCCCTCAGGCACTGTCTGACATTTAAGAAACCACCGGGGTGTAAACAGACAAAAAATTATTTTTTTAAATATTTCTTTTTGTGTCACCATCCTAGGTGCCCATGAATATTTTGAAATATCGTTTTGTAAAAATGCGGGAAACAATTTCCCCTGGATTGGTTTGTGTGTGCAGGACCAACAGGATTCATAAAGAAAGGCATGAAATTTCGCCGCTCTCTCTCCTGCCTTGCGCCGGTAAGATTGTGTATAAAAACCCTTCTCTCGGTTTCAATCCTCAGTCTCAACAACAGGAGCAGCAACATGAAGTCTCTTTTCCTGGTAGGTTTCTTTTCTTATTTCTTTTCTTCTCTATTGAACTCTTAGAAAAACCGCCTGTTTAGACTGTTACTCCTACAGTTGTAATTTATTTTAAAGTTTTTTTACTTTTTACTGTTTCTTCTTTTTAGTCTCATAATTTTTAAATATAAATTTTCTTTATACTCTACAGCAAGCCTTCTTTTTAGTCTGCATTCTTTCCTTTACTTAATCTCTTATAAATCTTTCACGTTCAAACTTTCTTTTATTTTATAAGTCATAGTTGTTTTTCTTTTCTAGTTTTATACTCTTGTTTGTACTTACTCTTATTAGTCGTATACTTATACTATAGTTGTATCTCTCATTAGTCTTATATTTATACTAAAGTTGTATCTCTCATTAGTCTTATACTTATACTATAGTTGTATCTCTCATTAGTTGTATCTCTCATTAGCTTTATACTTATACTATAGTTGTATCTCTCATTAGTTTTATACTTATACTATAGTTGTATCTCTCATTAGTCTTATATTTATACTATAATTGTATCTCTCATTAGCTTTATACTTATACTATAGTTGTATCTCTCATTAGTTTTTTTTACTTATACTAAAACCGTTTTTTAGTCTCAAATTCACTTCTTTCTTCTTAATGTTCTTAATTATGCCTTCTCTTGAGTCTTAAACTCTCATTTACCTTCTCTTTGGTCTTATACTAAAGTAATCATTATCATAGTCGCGAAAATCTTGGACATTAAAGTAGTCAATATGTTTTAATTTATCAGGTCAGCCTCTTCGCCGCAGCCTACGCTGCCCCCGCCGCTGAAGCTGATGCTGAAGCTGACCCAGCCCTTCTCTACAACTCCTACTACAACTACCCCTACACCTACGGGTATGCCGCCCCCGCCGTTGTCCCTGCTGTCCACACCGCAGCAGTGAAGAGCGTCGTTGCCCAGCCCGCTACCGTTGAGGTTAAACACGTTGCCCAACCCGCTGTCTACTCTGCTGTCCACGCTCCCCTCTCCTACTCTGCCTACCCCTACACCACCTATAACACCGCTGTCCACGCTCCCCTCGCCTACCACGCTGGTGTTGCCCCCATTGCCTACACCGCCGGTGTTGCCCCCCTCTCATACACTGCTCCTGTTGTTGCCAAGGCTGCCAGTTACTACGCTAACTCCGGTGGTGCCGTCCATGTTGTAAAGCGTGCTGCTGACGCTGAAGCTGATGCTGATGCTTACTACTATGGAGGATATCCCTATGGATACTCTGCATACAGAGGATATAGATATGCCCCTTACTCTGCCTATAGAGGATACAACGGATATGCTTACTACGGATAAGAATCCAGTTCCCACCATCAGAGATAGCTTTTTTCTTTTTTAACTTTTTGTAAAATTTTATTTGTTCCATACAAAAAATTATCCTTCAAGTACAAATAAATGCTTAAAAAATTTAAGTAATTCTATTTTTTTTGGAATTGCTATGTATGCAAAGAAAAGTAAAGAGTGTATATGTGGTGGAGCTAATATATATTACAAGAGATTAAAGAGAAGTAGCAATCTATATATAAAAAGTTGTAATCTCTGTTTGTCTGTTGGTCAGATTATAATCCAGGAACCCCTGCCTCAAATTTTGATTGGGGAACTCGGGAGACCCACGTTGGAATGTTCTTAGCTAGAATTAAAGATTCTAATTTGAGTGTGTCGACTTCAACAGCGAGAATCTCGTTTCCCGGTAAAATCGTTCAAGCGCGGGTAAACGGCGGGAGTAACTTTTAAGTAACCTTGGCAGCGCTCGGTTCCCAAGCTAGTTAAATATGTAAAAAATTAATTAAAAATAGCTTTAGGATTTAACCTGTTTTGAAAGAAATAATTACATGTGTTGGTCGAAGCTTTCCCTTAAAAACAATACATTTAAAATCTATACTGTTTTTCGACTCAAAGAAGTTCGTAGTAAGATTTTGAATCCACTGGAGACCACCGGAGGGATTTTATTTTCACTGGAGGGGTTTCAAAAAATGCTTTTTACAATTTAAAACTTTACGCAGGGTGATTTACATTCCACTGGAGGGATTCAGATGTCCTTCCTGGGGGGTTATATTTCCACTGGAGGGATTCAGTTATCCTTCCAAGGGGTATATAATTCCACTGGAGGGATTCAGGTATCCTTCCTGTGGGGGTTATAATTCCACCGGAGGGATTCAGTTATCCTTCCTAGGGGCTTATAATTCCACTGGATGTATATATATATCCTTCCTGGGGGTTTATAATTCCTCTGAAGGGATTCAGATATCTTTGTAATTGTCCAATGAAAATATTTAAGCACATTCAACTTCTAAACTTAAACTAAAGCTGCTAGAAAAGTATTGAACGTTTATTCTTGGATGGTTTCTTTGATTGCGCCAATTTCTAGCCATGCTGAGCCAGTTCTGCCGTTCTCAGCAGTGACGTTCAAGATGTCCTTTTCGAGCAAACTGTTCTATACACAAATTGAATCCGGATTTCTTCTATTTCTAAGTAATAGTTTTTATTGAAAAAAAATAATTAAAATGGCTATTATGTAATTTTTCTTTTTAACATTTGTTTAAGGGACCCATTTTGGATCAGGAAATGACAATATACTTAAATCTATATCAGTATTTAGGGCCATATAATTGTTAATTTATAATTGATGTTGTTTCTAGTATCCAAGTTTATAGTAAAGTTTTGAATTGTAAAAAGCATTTTTTTAAACCCCTCCAGTGAAAAAGAATTCCCTCCGGTGGTCTCCAGTGGAGTCAAAATCTTACTACGAACTTCCGTGCTGTTTGAGTCACAGTCAAAAATTTTCTAAAGAAAATTAAATTGAAAAAATGTTTAACAATGAATTTTTTTGCTTTTCAAAAATGTATTTTTTGTCACATTTTGCATGATATTTTTGCACATGGTTACTATTTAGAGTAAAAGTAGAGGTACGTAGGAATAGAGAGTAAGAAAAAATACGTTAGATAGCATATTCTTTAAATGGAAAATAGTTGGGATTTTGGCAAAGATTTGAGTTTTTGCCAAAAACTCTGATTTTCTAGTCCCTATTTATTTTCAACCCTATGTCGCAGACTTGAGATAATTCAAACTATGATTTCTGTCAGATTCAAATAGACTACTTTAGAAATTTTACGTTTTACGTTTATGTTTTACGTTTTACGTTTTCGTTTTTCGTTTTTCGTTTTACGTTTTACGTTTTACGTTTTACGTTTTACGTTTTACGTTTTACGTTTTACGTTTTACGTTTACTCCATCAGGCTACAAAGATATAGGCTTTAGAAAATTTGAGTTTGAAGTTTGATCAAATAATTTTAAAAACTTCCACTTTAGTCATATATTAATAATTTATTTTTTGGCTAAACAAATGTATTGCACGTAAATTTTGTGAAAAGTGATGATTGTCTTATATAATTCAAATTGATTAAGATAAACTGATAATCTAACAACAAACCTAACAATGATCAAATATAATAATATTATTATTTACAGTAAAATTAGTTTAAAATATGTATATAATTATAAAATTGTCTGTTTTCTGTCTGTATCCAATAAACGTCAAACGGCTGAACCAATCAGGCCAAATATTTTGTGGCAAATCACATGACCCCAGGGAAGATTTATAAACCGTCAAAGATAAAAAATTTGCATGAAAAAAATTTTGTTGTTAATAAATTTCAGAATTTCCAGAGCAACATTGAAAACTAAAATTGTTGATAGGAAAAGGTGCGCGATGTTGTACAAGCTGTACATATACAGAAGAAATTGAACATAATGTGTGAATATTCTCTCTCCCCCCCGCTCCTTACTGAACTGCAGGGACCCTGAGCCCGAATTTTTTCATCCGTACTTCTTGCAAACATATGACGTCTCCACTTACTCACGTCCTGAATACGGAGGAATTAAGTACTGTCTAAATGGGATTTTCTACAACATCTAGTGTCCGACCATAAACTGCAACATCGCGCGACCCCTATAGACGAAAATAAATAGAAAGCTGTTCAATACACTGCAGAATACATTTTCAGGGATGCTTTTTAACCCTGAAACAGCTGATGCTTTCATTAGTCATCCTTTAAATCCTACGATTATCTACCCTTTTTCATCCAAACTGTTGTTTATGCACATGCGCATTAGTTTCCACAAATTAGTTTGGCAAATCAAAGACGATCTTTGTTAACCTCAAATATTATTTTGCAAAATTTAAAAAATCATGCTTTTTCCAAAAATCTGCCGAAAAATATTTTTTTAAATTTAAAAATAATATTTTCTAAAAAACACTTTTTAGAAATACTTCGTCTCTCTGCGTCCTGAGAGCTCGGAGTATAGAAGCATTAGAGATGTCAACCTGCACAACCTCCTTGGAAAGGTCGTTATCATTTATTTCTGTCTTCTTATCTTGAAATAAATGATTTGTATAACTTTATTGCACAGCTGTATTTCTCTATCAGTGAATGCACTGAAATAATTCTGGTTACAAAAATATAGAGGTTTTAACGTATAGAGAAGATAATCCTCTTTAAACAAAATTTGGTCTATACGACACGCGAAGCGCTCTTACAGAATAAAAATCCAAGTGTTGTTATTATCAAATTATTAAATGCCAATTATTACCTGCTCCCTGGTCAAGATATACCATAATAATCAATGACCAATGTTCTTAAAAACTCTTATATTATTTAATTTATTAATTTACAAAATATTTTAAATAAATTTTAATGAGGTTTTTATTATTTAAACACAAGGAAGTGGTAAAATTCAATTAGTTCAAATTATCTTTATTTACCAAGATACATATATTTAGGCTAAAATCATACAGGGCGACCCACAAAGAATGAGACACTAGCGACGACCTTAAAGCTCGTTTAATATTACAATTTGAAGGTACAATTTTGAATACTGCCTTGAAAGTAATCTTTATATGGTTTACTTAAAACCATAATGAGAGCTAGAAATTTAGAAACAGTTAAATTTTGCACAATCGTCTTTAAGGTCTCATCCTTTGTGGACAACCCTGAACTCCCAAGGATGCTATATCGTTTGCACTAATGTCCGATTGAACTAATTACTTTTGCACGAAAGTCAGCTGATCAGTAACACTTGTGGCCACAGCGCCCGGCAGCCTGTCCTAGCCGCGGCTCTCGACCCCCTAGCCTGTCCTAGCCGCAGCGCTCGGCCCAGAAATTGTCTTAACCTAACCAAACCCTCAAATAAAACGTTAGTCCGAATGAATCTTAGTGCGAATGTACGTTAGTCCGATCAATCATTAGTGCAAACGATACGACACCCTCGGCCTCCCAAGTCCAAAAAGCAGCAAAATTGTATGACGACATTTATGCCCATCTCTCCAAGGTTCAGTGAACCAATGTTTTTGTATTGTATTTGTAAAAGTATAATTGTATCTATGTGATCAAATCTCCGTTATGTCTTATCTTTTGTATCATTCGACGCAGAAACATGAAATTATGCGTATAGAGGCAGGCAACAGTTAGAATTCTTGTAGTTTCGTTTAATTTAATTAAATATATTGGCGTAGAACTGTGCCGGCCCAGGAGCCTTGTTTTATACGATTTTTAACCTTTTAATAGACTTTTCCTGAAATACTGATATCAAGTGAAAATCAAATCAATGCCAAAAGTTCAAAAAGCAACTGATTATCTTTGATAAATTTTAATTATAAGATTTTCTCTTTATTTAAAAATAAATAAATTGTCCCTGAGTCTTGCATTTTTCATATTTGTAAGGTAATTATTTTTCTCTCAGTCTATTATGTATATATACATTGTTTATGCGTGTTTTTTGTCTACATGTATAAGAAAGCGTTTGTAATAAAATTAGGATCACCTGAAAATCTCCTTCCTTCCAATCAACTTCTTACCTATCCAAAAACATATCTTTATATGTGTAACCAATTATATCGTTAATTAACTTCGGGCCAACCACACAAAACTACCAACCCTGGTTAGGCGGGTACAAACTGCATAGTAAATTGTGATTGCTTATTTGTAATATCTCATGATTTGTAGTTGAATAAAAATATGAATATGAATGAAGTAATACTTGCAGGAGATATAGCAACTTTCTGATATAGCGCGTAGATATAGTTTTGACGTTTATTGGAAACAAACAAGCAAACACCAAAACAGACAAACAGGCAGACAAGCCAAAGTTTTATATTATAGATGCGCCTCCCCCCCCCATACCTAATGTTAATTCTTGAAGACTAGATGAATGAGATGCGTTGTCTAAATATAAACCTAGGAATTAACTAGATTCCGACAATATTTGATATTTATATTGACTAAATTATACATCTCTGGATTAGACACTAGACATGTATTAATTTTGTAATACGTAAAGGATTGTTTATGTCTGTATAATGTTTATTGTAAGAGTGTATATTATATACAGATTTATTTTATATTTCATGGATCAC